CAACTGAATACACGATACGGAGTCTTGGCCACCGCAACCGCAAACGCTGATCACTAAAATCAAAATTGGGAGTCAACGTAGCCCATTCTACACATTGCCAGCGTGAACCTGGTAAACAAATGACTGACAAATAGCGCAGCTACAACACCGCAGAATTAAAATGAGAAGGATGTAGAGCGAAAAATGATTATCATCCCTAACTTCTGAAATCTTAATTTTATGATCATGGAAAAGCACGGAAAGAAGGAGGATATTCCACTCACACGAAAAAGTTTCGGTAATAATGATTCTTCGCTAAATTAAAAGTGCTTCTTGGCCTCATGCGAATAAGTAGCGAATATTTCACCAATCGGCAACAAACCATGCAGACTCCGCCATATTATCATCACCGACATCACGATGTTTAATTTGGTGGAGTCCCTTTTTTAATAACAATTTCTTTGTTATTTAATTTTTTACTATGTACTTGAAGTGTTATTTCACATAAATTTATTGGACGAAAGTAAATTCGTTTTATGTGACAATTACTGAAGTACAAATATAAGTGGAAATTATTAGTATACCTTGAATAATGTTGAAATCAAAATGTTAATTCCAATGCTCTCTAAAAATTTACAGGGGAAGATTTAAAAAATATTATTACATCTAATAATTTCAAATGATGCGGACCTCTAAGGAGCCTCTAAAGAGCCTCTAAGGAGTCCTGCTACGGTCTTACAAAGACCGTAGCAGGACTTTGACTTCACGATGAGACGAACCTCTAAGGAGCCTTTATCGAACTGAAACCCAAAGAGTGGGCGCGTCATCAGTGATAAGCAATAGTCGACTTCAAGTCTTCGAGCCCTCCGATGCAGTGCGACTGTTTGCGCGCTCCTCCGCTAATGTTTTGTATATGACAACCAGAGTTGGCTTAGTCTAGTGTGGCCGCCACCTTACGAGGATGTGATGTCATCTCGACCAAGCGCCGGCAACCTGTACGGCAGAGCCTTGCTCAACCGTGTTTTCTTCAAAGTTAATGTAAGAGTTTTGACTCATACCTAGCCTTATGTAGTGAATTAACCTTCATGGTACTTTTGTCTTCATTTAAATTTCGACTCACCCGATACGACAGTTGGCTATGAGAATCATCACCATTATTATAATGTAGAGGTTGCGACCAAGTTACATTCATGGTAAGAATTAAATTCTACAGATTCACCATCTGAAAACATCAGAGCCTAGCAGAGTCGGTGGATTTTTTTCAAGACAATCACAATAATATTATTAAGACAATATAATATTTGCGACGGTAGCGGTGAGAATAGGTCAGTTTGGGATGCAATGGCCTCCTGGAGCTTTCCTTGTGACCACAGTGTTCAGTAATCATGGTAATCATGCATCAATAGCCGTAGTGTATTAAAGTGCTTTTCCTGTATCGTTAGATTTAATTTTTGGCCTCTATGCGCCTCTACGGTAGGCACGAAGGAGATGGTAGTTAAGAATGAGCTGTAAATTCATTGTGAATTTTTTAACGGTTGTGGTCGCTGTGAGCGGAACTAGCAGCGAATTGTTACTTCAATAATCAAAATTCAGCAAATACTAGCGGACAAATTTACAACTAATTCTTACTATTTAGATAGAGTCGGAATGAGAGAACTCTGATCGCACCTTAAAAATGGAATATATTCATCCAGTAGTAGAACAAAGTTTAGGGTAAATCTAGGTCAATTAAGTTCTTCCAGGATTTGAAATCCTCAGCCGGTCAGTTTCCTTTTGGTTCAGCTCGCTGAAAGTTGCTGGCGGCTGAGCTTCATTCAAAAGAAGAAATTAAGAATTGGATTCATTTAGGGAAGTTATGGATCCTTCAAAATCGTGTAAAGGGGAAACTCATTTGAAAATGGAATTAAAACTCTGTTGCCAAGCAGCGAGTTTGTCAAGCGATGCAAGAAACTTTTCAAAGCCGTAAAAAATTAGAATAATAATAAATAGTAGATAACTCGATTGCCCAGCATCGAAAATAGGGTTTTCAGCTGATGGCTATTATGGTTTGTAAAATATAAAGAAGCTATTGCAGCTATGAAAATATGATTGTAGGCTGCTACTAGTTTTTGGCGAAATGATATTTCGGAAGTTATCTACACTTTTTTTACCGTCAGCAGTTTTTACTTTTTTTACCGTACGCAAATCTCGCTGCATACCGTGGATTCGAAGACCTCATATAGGCGATTGCGCATAACTGATAACCCGTTGACTTTTTCTATTGCCGTTTCCCAGTGGGTAATCGCTACATACGACTACAAATTACCTGCTGTTCATGTATCAATGAATAAATATATTATTTCGTTCATGTAGTCATAATACGTATTCAGCTGTACGATGTTTAAGTGCGCGAAGATGAGAACAGCTTAGCCTGAGATGCAATTCTCGCGATGACCCTTCATCAGACCGTAGTGTTCAGTAGTTTTTGGTTGATGACTATTGCAACCTTTTTCATTAAGTGTTAGAATTACTATGATGAACTTATTTATTTTTGAATCTCTCGCCGCGAATAGGCGGAGATAAAGAGTGGAAATAAGTGAAATGTAGCAGTGACGAGACATTCCTCAATGTGTACGCACGATAGACGACTTATATCAAATAATTCACATTGATTCGAATCAAACATTTCGAGGCGGCAATTGCCGCTTCATGCGGCGCCTCTGTACTACAGTGGCGCGCTCNCCGGAAGTTTTCTGGTGAGAGCTCCGAATAAATTAATTTCCTCCTTGAATGTAACTCATTCATGAGGTCGCGATTCATTGGCCTAAACCAAGGGCATCTTGATTTCTACTCCATGGATGAATAAATTTGCTGAGCTTGAGGACTCCTCGGGATTTATTCCTATTCAGACTCAGCGGAGTAATAATAAATTTTGATTTGATTCGGAACTAAAGTTTGAAAATATGAACAGATTACGGCAGAGTTTTCGTATGGTCAGATGTTAATGATTTATTATACCGGTGTAGTAGGACTCTAGGTATCGTGTTATCAGCCACGTTGTGGGCCTGAGGGTGTTCGTTGCAAAGGGTCAGGAAAACAAGGAATTTGTGATGGTCTCCACCTCCTCTACAACCATCCCAATCCACCTTTTTATATGACTTTTCCTTGTTTTTATTTAACACCTGAAGGTCAACCCAGTCTGAAAAGCTAAAAATAGAATTAACAAGATAAACCATGGAGTGCACAAAATTCATAAAAAATGTCAGTTACAACAACTTTAACATGATTAAGTTAGTGACGCTGCTGACGCATATCAAGGAGTATGCAGTCTACTTATGATGTCAACACTGTAATTTATACCCCTGCTTTAATTTCATACTTTGATCTCATATGTCGTTGCGTCTCCGGAAAGCGGGGTTTGCAGGACCCCTAGTGGAAAAATCTAAGTTCCTTGCAGGATCAATGGCTTCCCACAACACCGGGAATACATCTTCAATGTCGGTATCATGCGTTGGTGATGCATACAATAATGAAGTTACTTGAGCGAGAAAAGTTTTAGAACAAGTGTCAGAAAATCAATTTAAAGATGATATCTCAGACGACTCCAATTCATCTCAGACGACTCCAAGATAAATCTACCCAATTGATTGATTGATCACAAATTGCTTAAAGGGTTGCTCAACAATTTCTTTAGGGTATAAAGATTATACTCAAATAGATATGTTAGCGATACAAAATTCGTTCCCCTTTTTGGCCAATAATTGTTTCATGTTATTATAATACGAAATATTCTAGTGCGTTTTGAGTATTCGAAGGCTGCAAGTGCGCTGCTGTTCAAACTGATAATCACTTTTCCGTTACCAATTCGATGAAGATGTTTGGTAACACTTTCGAAAATAAATGGTAAGGCACCATCTACGTGGAAAATATGTTTAAACTGTACGCATCATTAGTATGTGAACCGTCACATTTGCTGAGATGCATGAAACGATTATGAGAAGGAACAATACTTCTGAAATAAAAAAATACTATACTGGATGCAAGGAAGGAAATACTATACTAGGAAAAATACTATACTGGATGCAAGTTGCATCCATTAAAAATTTGTCATTCTTTATGTGTATTACGTACGAGAGTTTACACACCGATGTGTATCTATGATGATAATCTCGGCTGGAGACCTGGGGCCGTATTATCAAAACTTCGTAACTTTTTGTACTTCCGACAAAAAAGTTACGTCTTACGTAAGTACACCCTAATTTTGGCATAAGCAAAACATTCATACGTAAGACTTAGCTAAAAGCGTACTATCAAAACCATCTGGCCAACTGACCAATCAGAGGCTTTGGATTTGTTTACATTCTGTGAACTTCGATGGCGGGAATCGATGCCTTCGATGGTATCGGCTATCGAATGCTGTCTGTCGGTATTGAGTCGGTATTGCTCCTTGTTGGCCCAGAAAAAGCCGTTCTAAAATAGTTGTGAACTCTTCTTAGTAAACAGCGTGAGTTGAAGAAGAAATCTGTGTACGGAGCTAAAAATTATGGTTGGCAAAGATATAAAGTACCGACTAGATTCGCTAGAAGGAATGAAAGAATTGAATTTTTGAAAACGAATGAAAAAAATGTTTGCAAATTTTTGAAAAAATTAATTGATTTTTTTTCCAATAGGACTGTTTAGCACGATCACATATTTTGATCGTGCAAATGTTTCACGATCAAGTAGTGGAGCCATCACAAGTAGAACCATCATTCTATGCGTGCATAATCCGTGCTGTCGGATTATTGACAAAATTCTCTCACAAGTCAAGGTGTTGCTTCTTGCTGGTAAATCAATAGTTTCCTATCGCTTCAGCAGACACTCTAAACTTGTGCGGAACTACACTTACGACATCTCCGAGCAGGCGTACAGTTACGTTACGTATCTTCTCGCGCAAATGTTTTGATAATACCACCTCTAGAGTGACGTCATCAAGTCAGCACTTACGCCTCTCGTAAGTCGATTTTGCGTACCTACGACGTTTTGATAATACGGCCCCTGGCTAGCGTTGGAAGACAGTTGTAATGTGATGTGTACACCTGGCTTAATTCTACGAATCCTGTTCTGGCTGATTCTTATTCTTATAATCAGGATCCATGTTGATTCTAATACAATGGAGAGATATTTTTTGTCTTGCGCACTTCTCGAGACCTTGACTCCTCTGTAGAGAATTTGCGTAACATTCAGACTCCGACTAACGCGTCTTAAACTCCAATGAACGAGAAGATCATAACCAGTCAAGCGAGATTCATTTATTTTTACCAAGCTCGCCACGCAGCGCCCCGGCCAATTAAGTTTTTCTACACAAAAGAATTCATGTTTATCAAGTGAATATGTTTGTTGCTCGTTTAAAATAACTGGATTAGCCTGGTGTCCAATTGTGTGTCTAAGTCACATGGTTATGTTATACTTGGTGCCTTTCGTCTTCCAATGGTCGCCACGTGGTCTTTGTTGTAAGCATCGTTTAGAGTAGCTGAAGTCTATTTCATGCGGGACAGCATCTCGTCCTGGAAGAAATGAAAAACTCACTAAGATAGAGCAGAGAACAAAATTCGATTAAATTATTTTTAAGCCAATGCTTAGGCATTGTTAGCCGAACAGGAGTTACATTAGCTCTGTTCACAATAGTCACAACATTTCCGATGCCAACTTGTGGAGGGGGTGCGCAGCTTTTGTCCACAAATTTAAATCTTAAAATGTCCCTGTAGCCAACGTTCAGCATAAGCCAGACTACTTAACTTCATAGCTACAATGACGCAGACCACGCAAGAAATACCGCAAACCACACCAGTTCCGAAACGGCTTAAGACTGAGCGCCGTATATGTACGGGGCCACTGCTCAAGGCAGTATAGTCTTGATGGAGGCTAGTATCAGGCTACACCAGGCGTTGGATAACCTCCACACTTACCTCGCCTCTCCAGTTTCTACCTTTCGGAAGCAAAGTGGAGAGGTTAGGTCAGGTTAGATCCAGGAAGGTTTGTTTGGGTGGAGAGTCGGGATGAGTGTGGAGATAATCCAATGGGGTGTGGCGTCCACTAAGAAATATACTGACTTCGATGGGCGACGGAATTCTTCATACTTCTTTCCTCCGTCTTTCGTGCTGGTTACCGACTTTTCGTGTAAGCTTTCTTTCGGAAGAGTGCCTATTTTTCTGCAATAGTTGCCCCATTAGAGGACCTTCTAAGAAGCTAATGCTACTCCTTTCACCCCGGCTGAGTGCGCTAGCTGGTCGCTTGAAACCTCCTGTCTCTACTAACTTGAACGATGAATTATTTTGATTTGAGAGATTAGCGTTCGTTTACCTTCTCAATGTTTATTTTACGCTGGGAATCGCTTCGCATACGATCCATCTATATGTTTGTTTCCCTAAAACTTCTGCTGCCAACTTCTTTGTCACGTTCGATTTAAAAATATGATTTTAGAAAATTAATGTGTATACATAGCTCTATGCTCGGCCTAATTGCTGAGCCGACCCTAATAGCCGCTGGATTGTGCCCAATATATCATTATCATCATTATTATTTGCTACTTAGCTTCATAGCTACAATGACGCAGACCACGCAAGAAATACCGCAAACCACACCAGTTCCGAAACGGCTTAAGACTGAGCGCCGTATATGTACGGGGCCACTGCTCAAGGCAGTATAGTCTTGATGGAGGCTAGTATCAGGCTACACCAGGCGTTGGATAACCTCCACACTTACCTCGCCTCTCCAGTTTCTACCTTTCGGAAGCAAAGTGGAAAGGTTAGGTCAGGTTAGATCCAGGAAGGTTTGTTTGGGTGGAGAGTCGGGATGAGTGTGGAGATAATAAAATGGGGTGTGGCCTCCACTAAGAAATATACTGACTTCGATGGGCGACGGAATTCTTCATACTTCTTTCCTCCGTCTTTCGTGCTGGTTACCGACTTTTCGTGTAAGCTTTCTTTCGGAAGAGTGCCTATTTTTCTGCAATAGTTGCCCCATTAGAGGACCTTCTAAGAAGCTAATGCTACTCCTTTCACCCCGGCTGAGTGCGCTGGTCGCTTGAAACCTCCTGTCTCTACTAACTTGAACGATGAATTATTTTGATTTGAGAGATTAGCGTTCGTTTACCTTCTCAATGTTTATTTTACGCTGGGAATCGCTTCGCATGCGATCCATCTATATGTTTGTTTCCCTAAAACTTCTGCTGCCAACTTCTTTGTCACGTTCGATTTAAAAATATGATTTTAGAAAATTAATGTGTATACATAGCTCTATGCTCGGCCTAATTGCTGAGCCGACCCTAATAGCCGCTGGATTGTGCCCAATATATCATTATCATCATTATTATTTAACTGTATATAATATGAAGGCTTTATTAGAATTTTTTGTTCATTATATCTTGTAAGTCATCTCCACTGGATATGATCAACATTTTTGACAGATACGAACAAACATAGTAGTATCGAATTTCCATGACGATCTCCTAACTCCTACCTATACCCCTAAATAACCTACCCGGTTATATAAAACGCATGTTGACCACTCAAACGGGACAAATTTACAGCAATTTTCAATATTCTCTTAGCTGAATATCATTATTTAGTCTCAAATATAAATATATTGTCTTATGCGAACTAAAGGACATATAAATAGTACCAAATTCAGGGTCAAGACGCCTTCATAAACACAGTTTATGGTCCACACGATGCTCGCCTCTTGGCTAGCCTGTGAGCTTCGACTTCAGAGCTCAGTTGATGTTGATGAGACATTAAAGAGTTCACATTAAAATGTCCCTCAAATTTCAATTATAAGGAAGGAAGGTTTTCATCCTCGTTGAAATGGTGGCACGTTCAATGGGTGCACTGATTCTGGAATTAGAAGGTTTAATGGAGGGTACTTTCTTTGCTATATTTATACACGAATATTTAATGTAAATGAAAGTATTTAAGTTCGAGTTTGACAGGCAACCAACGAGCAAGTATTAATGTTTTAACGCAAATAATGTAATTTAATAATAGCCTTAATATCGGAGGTAAGCTTTTTGTTGAGGAAGCGGTACACCAGGTTTTTCTTATATATGCCTTATTGACATGTATGAACATTGAAAAGACTTTATTGTGCATTGAATTACTGTGACGTCACCGACCACTCAAAAAGCGTCCTTTCTGAACTAACTTAAAAAAAATGATCTCCTCGAATCCACTGAAAAAGTGGCAACAATGTCAACTAGTCTTGCTTAACACATTGCCATTGTCGAAATTCGATTATTTCGTGCGATTAAAGAAATAGATGGAAAAGAAAAAGACGAACTGAGTCGCCGTACTTCTAATGGTTTTTGGACCATTAGAAGTTAGTTCATTTTAGTTCAGCAGTTAGGCTGAACGTCGTAAAAATGAATCAGCCCCAGAGTCTTGATATTTCATTTATTTCTTTTTCCGTACGACAGAATAGGTTTATAACTCCGGTATGGTTAAGAACAAGACTTGATGCAATAATGGACAAAATTGTAAAAAGTTGCAAAATTTTGGCAGGTCACATCTTTAAAATTATTTCAAAACAGGCACTTCCAGCACGTATTTGACGACAGTTGTTAACGTTTTCCGATACATGTGACGTCACAGTAGAGATGCGCAGAACCGTGTCAAAATTTCTTTAAGCGTGGGTCAACCTTACATAGTTAAACTATGCTTCTGTGTTGTGCCACCTCTTCATAGAAGAACTATTTCCCTTGAGAACCCTGCCGACGGTATTACTTCTTATGAATGGTCCTAATTTTCCTCGTTGAATTTGTATGAGCAAGTTTTACTTATATTTCTGTTAGATCCGAGTGTAGTTGGCGTGGATAGGAACAATAGTAAATTAAATGACAAAAAAATTATGACTCCAAATATGGTAATGACCGACATCTAATTTGTTCTAACATCGATAAAGTCTTCCTGCTTTCATTATATCATAGCAATGGTTCCCAACTAAATCGTACTAACATCATAGTACCCACATAGTAATCATTCACGACTAACAAGTATTAACACCATGTATACGCTGTATGTATGCATTCAAGCTTAGACTTAACAATATGTGTATTTTAAACGTACAATGAAGGTGTCGAGGGTGTCCATCATGGCGGCCTTCGTGACTCCCTCCATGAGCAGCCTCCTGATGTGCTGAGAATGCTGAGTCAGCAGCCACTGCAGCGGAGCCTCACGCGTGTCCTGCTTGAATGATAACGATGCTTAGTTAAGAATCTCCATTAGAGAATCCTCTAGACAAACTGGCATGGTGGATTTAAATCCTTAACATGCTCAAACCATTAAAATCGATTGGTATGTAGGGACATCCAATGTTAAACATACTTATAATTAGTTAAACGAACATAATTTTCTTCAATTTCTGTAATAAAATTAAGCCCTTCGTAAACTCCCGAACTACTTCTAAATTTACTTCTTCTTTCTTCGTTAGTTGAGTTAACTGTAACCTCACTACAGCCTTGTCCTCCAATGTTTGGGTTAAGCCCTTAAATAGCTGCTAAATTGTTCCTCAAACTTGTAATATTTCCTTGTATATTGTTTGCACCTAATATCGACTCTATCTTAATTCGTATTGTATTTCATTTATTCTACAGGTGCAACTTACGAATACCTACACTTAAATACACTTTCCTAACACTCGTCTCTCGCGATTAATTCTAGTCTAAATCCCTCTTCGCGTGTAACTTAGCTTAAAAGTGGTGCCGAACAGACATACCGCTATAAGTAGTTATGAGTTATTTGAGAACTAAATACTCCCCAAATTCTAAAAGCTTCTAACTTTACTTCCGCGTCATATTTAATTGATATGATCAATTTCCTTAATGCTATCAAATTATAACAACCTCCGTGCAGGAATAAATTATGTTTCTCGAGCTTGGTGGCTACCCAAGTTCAATTGCAGTATTTAATGGTTATAGAGCGAGCCTCTAAAATAAAATTTTCAGTTTTTTTCTTGTAACTTCTGTATAAATAGACTAAAGACTATGAAATTTTTACATAAATGTGAACATTTCGGCGCTGCCTATGCACAATAACTTTCAGGCTTGTATTGCCTGCTGCTTTCAACAAGAAAGTAAATTATGCAAAACTGAAAAAATCCCTCGTTTTCGCATAAACAATCGTTGGGCTAAAAAGGCGCATGAAAATTTCTCTGACTGCGTTATATGTTTAGAAATCACACAAACATAGATGGTTTGATTATTTTTCAATTACACCCCTTTGATAAATACGTTAAGTCTATGTGAGATTTTAGTTTATTTCTGGAGCCAAAATATGAATATGTTAAAGGATTGAAGTCTATTGACCTGTAACTTTTATTTCATTGCTTCTTCTCCCTCAAACCATAGACTTAACTGCGGCCGTTTTATAGTTTTGACTAATATTTTCAAACTCGTTTTAATTACTTTACAGTTGGTTTACACATAGAATAGCATCAGAAATTAAGTTATAGTCATAAAAAGCATAGTGTATGTAAACATTATTCAAAACCTTTTTTATGAAAACTGGTTACTTAATATTCCATTTTACGAAATTGCAGTTCGGAAATCATTAGACTCCATAGTCCAGTACTGATAAATTTCGACTCCATAGACTATAGTACAGTACGCAAATTGGAAAGCCACTGTGCTTGTGTGAAATTACCATATATCTCGATTTTTGTTGAAATCCATGTACGTTTGCTGCGGTTATTTGTTAATTACATAATTCAAGAACAATTGAATCTACATTTCAGAAATTATTTCAGCCTTCGCGCAGGTGTAAAATTAACCTATATCTCGCCTTTGGTTGAGATCCAAATTCGTTTGCGGGAGTTATCGTGTAATATAATTTTCTAATTCAGAAATGATTAAAATGCAGATCTTAAGTTATTATAGCCACAGTGCATGGGAAAATTACCATATTTCTCAACTTTGGTCGAGATCCACGTTGATTTACGTCGGTTAGTGCAGTTAACTAACTACTTCTGAAGCGACTAAATCTACATAACTGGTATTATAACGGCCTCTGCGCAGATGTAATATCAACATGGTTCTCGACCTTTTTCATATCCGCGTTCATATGCGGTAATTATAGTGCAAGCCCCTAACAAAAAACTTTTCAGTTTTTCCCTCATAACTTTTAAAAAAATAGACTAAGCACATTGGTCTTTCTACCAAAACGTGAGCTTTTTACTACTTCTTATGCCAAATAATTGAAATAAGAATAATTTCAGACTTGTATCGCAATCATTTTTTAACTGGGAAGCAAAATTATTAAAAATTGTACAATCCGACGTTTTTGCGGAAACAATTTATTGGGTTACAATAAAGCATCTAAAAAATCTTCCTCTAAGAACGTCATATATTTAGAAATGATTCAAACCTTAGACGGTTTGATTATTTTTAAAAATTACCAATCTGCGTCAGATATGTTAAGAGAGTCTACGTTTAGATCCTAGTCTATTTCTTGAGTCAAAACATAAACAGGTTACAAGACAAAAGTCTATTGACTTTGCTACCACATTTGATTGCTGCTCTCCCCACATTTCACAGACTGATAGTGGGATTTTATTTACGACTTATTTTTCAAATTCGTATTATGGACACACGAACTTTGAGTTAGTTTGCATAAAAATAAAGCCATGTTAAAAATGAAGTTGTGGTCTGAAGGAGCGGTCGTAGGAATATCCATAACCACAGATTGTCATTCATAATTTCTAGATTTCTTGCCAGCATCTTTAAGCGAAATCCCGTGCTTCTCCACTGGACGTGGCCACGTTCTAGTCAGTCGTTGACTTACGGTTCTCACTGGCCGCTACGTATACGTTCCTGCGTTTGTTGAGTTACTAACACTGGACTCCTCCCGCGTTCCTGAAGTTTTGACTCATGCACCGTCTTCGCAGGACGCCCAGAACTATAGTTATTGACGCATTGTTTCCACTGGACACCCAAATATCCCTATATCTATTCACTTTCTGACTCCACTTGACGCCCAGAAATCTCTATAGTTATTGATTCACCTTCTCCACTGCACGCCCATATATCCCTATAATTATTGACTCACTGTCTCCACTGGGCGCCCAGATATCCCTAGTTATTGACTCACTGTCTCCACTGGGCGCCCAGATATCCCTAGTTATTGACTCACCTCCCCAATGAGGTCCCTCTCGATCCTGTCAACTGAAGCAGGAGTCTTGCCCTTTGTATCAGCACCAGTCATCAGTTCCTGAAGGATCTCGCTGATGTCTCGGTAGTGACGGAGCGACGCAGGTGGAGGGACAGGCTGCGGTGTGGAGGTCGTGGTTGAGGGAGCTGCAGTCGCGTGAGCCAAACGAGCCTTTTTGAAACATTAGAACAATTACGGAACTTTTTTTGTTGGCACCAAAAGTTGCCTTCCAAAACAGGACAAACACGACTATCTTTGGATAATCATAGCTTCCAATTAGCTTTTTACAATATTATTTTTAACGAGGATGTACTTTTTATTCACATTTTTGTGCGCATAATGCATATATACCATACTTATATGCGGTGTTCCGTCAAATGTAACTGATTACTTCTGTTTATTTTCAAATAATTGGTAATTTCCGATTTAAATAACTTATTATAACATATTGCACAAACACCCATAAATATATCTATAATATATATGCGGAAATGGTAATTCTCACCATCCTGATCTTGTTCTCGAGCTGCTGAGGTGACAGCTTGTGGCAAACAACAGGATCCTGCAGGCGCGGCAGCTGCAACACGCGCTCCTCGTAACCGTGGCAGCAGTTCAGCGGACACAGCGACACTCCACGCAACGCCTTCCAGCCTCCCATGCAGCACGAGAACTATAAGCATCGGAAAATCCTGTAAGTCACGCAGAATTACTTCCATTTTTAAAAATGGTTTGATATTAAGGGGGGCGTCTACCATAAAAGTCGTATATTTGGCGTTTTTCGGTTTTATGCTCATCTCAAAGCTGACATTCTGATCTATTCAACGGTACCAAAATCATCTCTGTACTTTGATTTATGCGTTCACGACAGATCCCGCAAGAGTGGGGGGTGGTGGAGTTCTTTAACATTTAAGATACGGGGAAATTAGCTGCCGAGCACTTTAAATAGAGTGTCTGCTTGAGCTGCACTTCAGTTATCCGCCTGGCGTCGTATGGGATGGTGTGTATGCAGTCGTTCCCACCATCTTTGACTGGAATCAAGCTTCAGTAACGATTATCTTTGTATCCTTGCTATATTGAGCGCCTATTCAAATGTGCACGGGACTTTGTCGGGCTCTACTGAGAGGTTAACTTATTATCACTGCAAACCTATCTCCTCCTAGAGTTTTGAAGCTACATCAATGAGAGATATACCGTGTGAATCGTAAAGACCATACCTATCGAGTAACGAAGCTCTTTTTTTAGATTTGTGCATAGTTTGGATTGAAAATGGTGGGGAATGGGGAAAAATCAGAAGAAAATGGGAAGAAAACGGGAAAATGCGTGTAAAAAAATAAGGCGAAAATAAAAAATTGGGCTGTGTTACTCGATTGGTATGGTCTTTAAAAATCGAATGGTATTCTTTCGATGTTGTAGCTTGAAAACTGTAGGAGGAGATAGATTTTTAAAGTACCCCCTTTTTTACCGTTTTCTATGAATTTCACGTTTTCTATGAATTTTTTCCGAAAAATCATACAAACAAAATCTGCTTGTATTTCGGTTTTACCTTTATATGTGTGAAGTTTCAGAATGATCCTTTGGTAAATGTAGAAGTTTTTCTGGAGGGTAGACACCCCTTAATAATTTACAATCTTATTTGTGCTATCTAGAGGCATTAAATCTAGGTGAATTGCAGTAGTTATCTTCGGTAGTATTTTTACTTGGTCATTTACATTTTCTACGATCCTGTTTCTAGTTATTAGGTAGCGGAATTTGAATTCCATAGAAACCTTGGAAATATCTGAAATATATACTTGTGAGGAAGAATCTATTTGCAAAAGATTATTCCGCGTATTTTTGGTTAGTAATTTTGATAAATTTAAACGCAGTATTTAATCGTCAGCGAGACTGGGCGAGGTTTTAGAACTAACCTTCGCATGGAACGAATGGAGGCCGAATATTATTTGTCAAAGCAATAACCTTATGGCAGGCAACTACAATCATTATGAATTTGAATTTACTATTGACCATTAAAATATTATTCAATTTACATGTAGAGTTCAATCTATGCCACTTTTCGAGCGACCTACCATATCATCTGCTCGCGTCGAGGCGAGCAAAAGCCAAATTACGAGCACGCGGAGAGCTGCCAACTGCATTTCTGTCGAGCAAAATATTACAAGTTAAGTGGTTCTTTCGAACATTTCACAATAATTTGTATAAGCAATCGTAACCATAATTGGAGTGAATTAAACAAACACAGCTGACGAGTCATAACTGACAATATGATTCTGAAACATTTCTATAATCCAAATTAGTCAAAATTAAAGGTATCTGTTGAAGTGGAATCTTTCTCTGTTGCGTTTAGGACACGTGTATCCTGATGCAAGAATAACGATGAAATTTTCGATTGATTGCACCCGAATCTGACCAATGTTACGTAGCGTACACAATGCGACCGTTCTCAACCAATATACGAGGTATTGATCATGCTGGTTGCAAAAATATTTGTTGTAGCTAAAACACGAGTCAGTTGATCCTGTTTGTCAGGGGCTGAGTATTTGGTGCCTTTCTTTATTATACGAGTATACCAAGGTTTGTCCTGAGGGATTATCCGACTATTGTGAGGGACAAATAAATACGCATTCTTCCTTATTAATTAAGAGCTCAGTCTTTTTATAGACACGTAAAAATATAACTCAGCCTCAAGAAAGTCGGGGTGAATACTCAGCATATGAAAACTTTAGTGTCAATTATTTAAGATTAATGTGACCGAGTTCGAGGAAACGTTAGAACACATGGTGACAACTTCTTGCCGAGTTCGTGGAAACGTTGGGACACATGGTGACAACTTCTAGGAACGTTGGGAGACATGTTGACAACTTCTTGCCGAGTTCGTGGAAACGTTGGAACACATGGTGACAACTTCTTGCCGAGTTCAAATTCAAGCCATTAAATTGACTCCATTCGAGAAGGAACTTGAAAATTACCATAATAAGAAAAGTTATTCGATTGGCGATTGCACATCATGAATTCTGAGATCAGAAAGTTCCGTTATGATGATGTTCGTTGTTTTTGTTATATAACGTTTACTTTAGGCAGGAGTTGTTATCAATAATGATTGCTTATTACTGAAAGTGCATCAAAATGTGTACAAATTTGGATGAAAAACAAATTATTTTATAACTTTTGTGCAATACTGTACATAGTGTGTAATATTGTACATCGTGATTGATAGTAACTATTTGTAATACCTGGCCATGAGCTAAACACGTTAACGGAACCTCGACTCGTTGAGAACAATGGAATCAGATTTGTTTACCTGGCGAGGCTTAGCTACGCAGACGCTCGTACGGGGACAGCCAACGACTGAATGGCGGACGAGACGCTCTTCTCTGCGGACCAACCTCGTGCCGCCCAGCCTCGTGTCGCCCAACCTCGTGCCGCCCAACCTCGTGTCGCCCAACCTCGTGCCGCCCAACCTCGTGCCGCCTGTAGCAGCAGCAGCAGCAGCAGCAGCAGCAGCTGAGCCTCTTGACAGCAGCAGCAGCAGCAGCTGAGCCTCTTGACAGCAGCAGCAGCAGCAGCAGCTGAGCCTCTTGACAGCAGCAGCAGCAGCTGAGCCTCTTGACAGCAGCAGCCGCTGGTCCGTCCTTGACATTCAGTGAGGCGGAAGCTTCCGTCGTGCAGAGACGCTTACATGCTTCCTGTCTGCACGGTACACATCTTGAATCTGGGAGACGGCTGTGCATTGATGGAATGATGCACACTCGAAACCAGTTGCATTATGAGAATATTAATTAGACTTATTCAATAATCGCTATTTAAATGAATATTAATTTCAATCTCCAGCTCCAACTTGTCATGTGCTAATGATCCTTTCGTTGGCAGATCGCAATTATGCTTGTAAATCATTAATTAGCTTCATTCCTGCCTAAAATCGAAGCAATAAAAGGTTCGCACTGAAATTATTATCATTTTTTATCCAGGTTGAGTACTCATCTGCCCGGGTCAAAATAGAAAGTTACATATATATTTAGCTACTCCTACCATGTATTGTGAGGAAACGTGTGAATGATAAGCGACCAATAGTAACTGAAATTTCAGGATTAATTACCGTAGACTTGCCGGGCGATGCGAGCGCTGCTGTTACTAAATCCAGGTTGTCACTTTTGTAGATTTAACTAATATTAAGTACTTTTTTTTACTCTGCTCCCTAAAACTCTATAAGTAGTATTTGAAACAATAACCTTTAGTATACAACCGGTTCTTGTAATATGCGTGCAATATCCAATCAACGATTTGGTTTCTAGATCAGCTAGTGAATTGAAGATTCGGGCCGCAGTTACGGTTCACGTTTCAAGCAGTCGCCTTTAAATTAAAAAATTGACTGCCTGAGACACGCTCTAGCAAATACAGTGTGATCATCGTTTCAAACTTTCATCGTACAAGTAACGATTTAAAATTGCTCTCATTCGCTTTAAATTTATTATTCATTGCCGTAAACGTTACGAGCTCTAATATTTTCCAAGTTTTTACTGAAAAATGGTCCATAAAACTTGTCTGTAGCGAAAAGCGTTTGTGAGACATCGATATCATGACTGTTAAATAATTGTGAGCACAGGTTTCAGCATAATTTTTGTCTTTCCATTCGTACACAAGCTCGATCATACGTCAATACATGAAGTAATTTCAATCAATAGGTTTGTTTGTGTTCGGTTTTCTTGCAGCTCGTTCGTTAGTGCAACAGCAGCAGCTGCTGGACGAAGGAATAACAAGGATTTTATTCTACCGTCAGTGCCTCCTCAGCCGTGGAGGGGTGAGGAGTTTAATTCCGCTCTTTCACACGCTACCCTGCAACAACATATCTGCACTCACGTCTTATGCTGTAAGTGTTTATTAAGCCATTTCCGTGCTGTTACTATAATTCACTAACATTTTATATGTATTAAAAAAAGCTTTGAAGGTGGGTGATTGAAAGTTAGAGGTCGTTTTGTGACTTGTGACTTCATTGTGTCACTGAGCGTGCGGTTCGAGATGACAAAGCCATCCGCGTCACGCTACGAGGAGACCGCGTTATCAACAACACATTTATCAATACAAATTTTTCTGTGTAATAATAAGCAAACATGTGTTTGATAGCTCTAAAAAATGGAAAAATACCCAATAATTTCTTACTTTCAGCAGTAGTCAGTAGTTCAGAACTAGCACGCTAACATTAAATGGAGCTGTCGACATGTGAGATTGGGCCTGTTATCTTACAGTGAACTTATTTGCTACTGAAAGAAATCATGGAATAAATAGAATATTTGATGATAATAAGATACTAAAAACTGATCAATAGTGATAAAACTGACGAAAAAAATGCTACAAAATCATAAGCATAGATAATAACAATATAATCAGTGGAACGACCGAGTATACACGGAAGAGATTAAAACAAAGTAGAATTAAAATATCGATAAAGCGAGGCTTTTAAATTTGCTACTTTTCTCATGATATGTATTATGAATTAGAATATATTCGTTATTATATTTTATCTAAATGCTTTCCGTCGAGCCTTCTGCTTACTTAATGTATGAGGTTCTTGTAGATGAAGATGTTCCTGAGATTCAGGACTGTAAATTTATTCAATGCACGGTCAACGAGTTAAAGATCCTGTTAATGGAATATTTTCCATCGCTGACTTACATGTTGGGCATCAATTTAAAGATTAGATATTCCTTCAAGTATCAAATGTTATACCTGGCCATACATATATGTGGCCCTCAATGGCCTCCGAGCATAATTGATCAAAATGCGCATCAGCGTACGTAGGACCGGCGTCGCGTAATTCCTACATTAGGCTCACCCAATATCGTGGCTGGAGTTACCGTTCTAGATATCTGCTTTCCTACCCGCCGCACTCTGCTGTGCATATTCACGATGAACATCGCTACGCTTCTTTTTCCGCGACCTATTTAAAAATTTTAGACTCGAATTCTGGCGCCTCAGTTATAGGTATCTTGGAATTGCTGCAAATTATAGACGAAAACTTTGTCTTAACAACGCTGGTGGTTCTAAATCCGCTTGGAACTGTTAATTACATGGTTTTTATGTTACTTGCATGTATTTCACTTGTTTGAAGAGATAATGATGCTCGCCTCAGAAACTTTTTCAACGAAATTTTAGCAAGTTTACTTGAAAATTTCTAGGAGTTCAAATTTTTGGCTGACATCTCATTGTAGATGAGCAATTCTCCGGTTCCTTCTTCTTAATAGTAATTTTGCAAATGTGTTTTACGCTTTCCTCGCAGCGTACCCGTAAAACTGATTAATATAAACTATGTATCGAGTTAGCATGCAACATGGTGAGTTAAAAATAAGACCTGATACCATTCAAATTCTCCATTTCAGATCTCCGTACTGAATGGCACAGGAATTCAACGAATAAAAAAATAAATTCTCCATTATACACACATTTTACTTGATTGGCATAGTCAAACCAACTATAAAATCAATTTACAAGACCTTGAATTATTGAACGTCGTAAGTTATGATATGTTAATTTCTTTATCAACTACTTCAAAGATGGCAACGCTCTGGTCTTCAATGGACTCGTGACAAGGAGGTTCCCTGATGACGCCACTAAACGTTCTCCCATTTATCATCACCATCGTCTACCTGTGCTTCATGATTTACGTTTATAAGATGGCGATGAACATTTTATAAGCCCACCGTGGACCCAAAACGCCACACTCACCATGTTACGTGGCCAATCATGGTCGGTCTTCTGGTAGCATGCAACATGGCCTGTAAGCCTTTCCTGTTGGTCAACTACAACTACAAAAAAATCTTTGTTGTCCTCCTGGAACAGTTCTTGCAACCTCGGTTGTCCTGGATAAGTAATGAACACGGTTCCCAACTTTGCGTCTTTACTGTGCTCAAATCTTATGATACTTGGGAACTTCTGACTATCTCATCTCAATGACAGAAAAACACTGCGGATAACTTAACTTGTTGCGTGATGAAGCAACAGCCCAAGCATATCATGCGTGCGTCCCAACATGCTCAACTCCAGTGTCGTCATTGCTCAATTTCACCATTTTATCATCCGTCAGATTATAAATAAGAAAATAAGTACCAATGCTCATGTGATGACACTTCAAAAAGTTTGATCGCAGAGAAATAAACGACCTGCCTCTGACCTCTGCAAATCGTGCTTGCAAGATCGTTGTTTAGCAAATGAGTTCAATATTGCAGATTCCCTGCACTTGTTTATGAGAACTATTCAACCTTTGTTTCCCTGCTTGTTCACATTAAAGTTATTAACTGGGACGAGGTTCTTTGTGAGCAGCTCTGCCTTAGAGTGAAAACTTTCTAAGTCAATTTTTCTCTCTTCGTCTTGAGTCTTGGTTTTTTTCAGTGATTTTTCAAACTTTTCGTGCATCAGTAACTCTATAAGTATCTTAATTTAATGAATAATCAGCAATAATATTCGTCGCTCAAAACAAATTATTGAATGAACTTCCTCTTATAACGAAAGACTCGGCGAGGTAAGGGGATATCTTCATCAGATTAACATGACACGGATGCCACTTCACTGCGGGATGTGATTATATCCATTGAACTTTTGGCTGCAATTCAATGTATTTGTATGTCACAAAAGAAACAATATCGTTGATCGAAAAAACAGTTGACTCAACAGTTGAGATCAGTGCTGGATCTTGATATTCTCAAAAACTTTGTTGCGTTTCATCATTGAAGCAAGTCTTCTTTCTTCCTTGGATCATTCACAAGTCTAATTCCACCAACATCGCTCGTGATTCAAACCTGCACACCACATGAGCGAGGCTACAAGATGGACTACGAAGTGCGGGTGCGAGTGGGGATGTTGTGCCTCATCCTACCATTCCTTGTGGTCCAGATCCTTTGCATTTACAGAGAACAACGTCTGAATATCCTACCAACCCCTGACTTGGACCTGCAACGCCTGAATATGATGTTTCTTAGCCCGGAGACAGGTGAGATTATTATTAAATTGTCTTGCTTAGCGCAGGGTGAACTGCCGTCATTAAGTGATGAAACTCTTTGTGATCTAGAAAATATATTGTCATGAGGTAGTCGACCTCTTCTACATGACGAGACCTAATGAATTCACGGAAAATGAACTCTAATTCTTAATAGCACTAATCGTAAGTTCCATAATATCTAATACCTTCCCTGAAGCTTTAAATAGTATGCTACTGATACGAACAAACACACCTTCTTTTTCACGAAGCTTAAAGCCAAAGGTCACACGTAGCACGTAGCTCCCAGTTTTCCTAATTGATGAGCCTGGAGCTCGTCCATTCGCCCTCAGCTGCGGAGACGCTGCGTCCCGCAGCCATCGATCGCCCCGGCAACGGGTCGCTGAGGGCGGACGAGTGGCGCGCTCTGCAGGCAGCGCGGCAGGAGTTTTTGGCGCGATCCTGCCGCATCCTGGCGGGGCGGCACGGACCTTTGGGAGCGTTCCTTGCCACGAAGGAGTTCACCCGACGTCTCCAGCATCTGCTTGTGGATGATGAGCACCGCGCCATATACTGCTACGTCCCTAAGGTAGAAGAGGCTATACCTGCGTAGCTGCTCGCAGTGACATTTTTCTTACATTTGCAAGGCTGCTAGAAGTTAACTCTTTATTTACACCTGAAGTGCTATTTGCAGCTACACTTTTTTTTACACCAGCAAAGCTGCTCACAACCGTAGTTTTATTTTTCTGTAAAGCAGATTGCAGTTATATTTTTGTTTACGCCTTCTTTGCTGCTTGCGGCTAGAGATTTGGTTTACACCTGCAGACACCTGCAGTGCTGCTCACTGCTGCTCACACCTGCAGTGCTGCTCACTGCTGCTCACACCTGCAGTGCTGCTCACTGCTGCTCACACCTGCAGTGCTGCTCACACCTGCAGTGCTGCTCACTGCTGCAGTGCAGTAAAATCAATGAGCGACGCTAAGAGAATCTTGTAGCTCCTGTGATGAACTCAAGGCTCCGGGATCTCGCTCTTTTTGCAATAGTATGGAAAACAAGCTTATAATCAAACATGAGTTTGATCTCAATTGACCATTTTTAATCCTTCTCTGTGGAAAAATTACCGTTTATTTGTCACTCATAAATGTCCAGTAATCAGATTCATTAAATTTATATATAATTGCGAAGTGAGAACCAAACGCACTCGAATATGATGAAGATATTTTACTCGCTACAATTACGTTATTCGTCTGCAGAACTTCCTGGCTGGCAAAATATTGAGTTCGGACGTCAGATTATTAATTTTTTTATCATGAATAATGCATTTTATCATAAATGTCGATTACGTGCAATATTCATAGCGACGGTACGATGTTAGTTCAGTATCATTATTTAATTGCATAGATGGTACCGTTCATGCATTATTTGTTCCATCCATTAGTTATTTGTTCCATCCACATTATTTGTTCCATCCATTAGTATAATGTAGTATGAAGAACACACGTCTAAATTTACGGTTATATTTTAATCGGTTTTGGGCATGTAGATCGTTTTTGGGCGCATTTTCTAATTTATGGGAAAACGCACTATTGTGCTCGTCATGTCCGTCCGTCTGTCCGTCTGTCTGTCCGTCCGTGACCACGTTTTCGTCGACGAGAAAATGCGCTCTCTGTCACTCACTGCAGTGAGTACTGAGTTAATTTTTTTTTATTATAGCGTGACTTGAAATGTCATGTTTGTTGAAATTACTTGGTCGTGGCACCATCGTTGATTTCCCTTTGGTTGAAAATTGGTTTGAGTGTTTCCGAGTTTACGTTCGTTAACGCTTTACTAACAATAATTCAATAAAAATATGTCAATCAACAATTTGTAAGATGACTTCGTTTCTCGCTCGTGCAACATGTAGAACCATCTTCAACTTCGAGTATAATTTTCGTATTAATGAGAATATTAAACTATTATCAAAATTCAGTGTTATTAAATACATATATTATTCCGTTTAGTTAAGAGTTCACTTTCACGGAATTTTAGTGTTTAGACTTTACGTCTAAACACTACTTTACGTTATACATTTGTAGTTAGCTTGTGGTCTACATGAACTTGTTGGTTGGTATTCTAGGTGGCTTGCACGAACTGGAAGAGAATTTGGATGATCTTAACAAACAAGACTAGCGCCGAGAGCCCCGACGCCATCCCATCGCACGTCCCGCACACCACGAACGTCTTGCGCTCCCTCGCTGACTCTTCCTATACGGTGATGGTCTTATGAAAACATGGTCTGGAGTTAATGTTTGTTTTAAACATTTTTTACATAATATCATAATTCAATATTCATCATTAAACGCTAGGTAATGTTCATCGTGGGACAAAAAATTTCGCTTACGCTGAGTGCCCTCGATGTAGACATTGATCGAAAAAGCTTCCCGACTGCAAACTATTGTTTCATGTAAATAGTGAATATTCAAAGGAAATGTTTCGAATCTTCTTAAGTTTTGTTGATATCTTTTTTCTCGCTGCCTTCTACGGCGTAAAGTGTCGCTGACTTGATGTTCCTTCAACAGGCGGACGACGTTCGCACTCGGCTTAGCACATATACAAAGTTTTTATTCGTTCGTCATCCCATGGAGCGACTGGTGTCTGCTTTTCGCAACAAGTTTGAAAAGTCATCTCAGTTCAGCAAGTCCATCGGCCCAGAAATCTTGCGGAAGTTTCGTAAATCGAGCGGCGAAAGCTCATTGAATTCCAACGTGACGTTCTCTGAATTCGTCAGCTATGTTGTAGACAGGAAGTTTCGACGAAGGGAAGTCCTGAACGAACATTGGGAGGCGTATACGGACTTGTGTCTGCCTTGCATTGTCTCATACGACTATGTTGGCAAATATGATACGCTCAAAGAAGATTCAGATCGAATTCTTGAAGAGATTGGAGCTCCTGATGGTCTTCGCTTCCCAGCTTTTGTTCGATCGGCGACCGCTTCTTTGGTGCCTCGCTACCTCAGCACCCTCCCACCCAGCGAACTGAGATTTGCCACCGACGTCTACAAGATGGACTTTTTGCTGTTTCAGTATCAGTTCCCTATTTTCAGAAACTTGACGTCGACCTGAAATGATGCATCGCAGAAATTCTAATCACATGCCCATCAAAAATGGAAACACTGAAAATCTTCTACTTCATTTCGCGTCTATATTAAAAATATTGATTCATTGACTAATTTGGAACTAAAATATCACCGTAATAACATTTGTACAAAATATTTGCTGATTACGTTAATTTTTTAGAGATTCATAATAGCGAAACATCAATATATCATTTGTTGCTACGCTGTCAAAGAATCTTTGAATTTCAGCTAATTATTGTATACCGTTAGGCAACTATTTGCCAGTACTCATATGTGTACCGATTAATTCAATTTTCATTTAATTTCAAAAAATTCTCACTGCTAAGAATTTTTAGGGAACAGTGAAGGAATTTGTGAATAAGTTTTTGAGCAATATGTCAAGTCGTATAATAAATGAATTTATTGGCCAGGTAAGAATTAATGAGTGTTCAGACACTCCTGCTACGTATCTAAAGAGTCGGCATAGTATAATGTAATTTTCGAAAGAAGTTTGTACGGACTGCGCCTTGTTACATCGAAGAATAATTTAGTTTTCCCTACGACACAGAATGAAGACTGTTTTAATCATATCTGAATGAGGATGGAAGTCGTGATAGTTGATGTCTTCCGTATGTTAAATGAACTTCTGAATTAAGATCTCAAGCTGAAGGCTGGTGCAGGCACCGCCACTAATTATAATTATGACTTGGTGATACAATTAAAGTGAAGTGTACTGCACATGTCATGTACATCGGTGTATTGGTGAGCCTAAACCCACAAAATAACATTAAGCCGGGAAGATATGAACGTTGTTTAACATTCTAAGTAGCCAGTCTAAAATTGATCATGGTATCAGAACATCGCTACTAAACACTTACTTGTTTATGGCAATGCTTCTAGAGTTCATTGTTTTTCAGGTGCGGCGTATTTATTTAAAGTAGCGTTTGTGTCGACGTTATTCCAGAAGCGTCGTTTCTCTAACTTAATGTTTGTTTATTTCAGAATATCGTTTTGCGTTTCAGCATAATTTCGGAGCAGGACTTCCTTTATTCATTGTTATTTGTCAGCATCTTTTCTGTCATTCATTGTTATTTGTCAGTATCTTTTCTATAATTCATCGTTACTCTTGATCAGTGTTCCTGCAATTCATTGTTATTTGTCAACATCTTTTCTGTAATTTCTGAGCAGCGTTACCGCTCTTCATCGTTCGTCTACACCGGCGGTACTTAGAAGTGTGTTTGCTTTAAGACGTCGAGGCTTGAGACGTGGTTCACATGAACGTACCTCGTGGTGTAGTGTAAATTGTAGTGCATCGATGTTGTCGAAGAATAGTACTGTCATGCATCGTTGTAGAATGAAGTGTAATTTTAAGCAATCATTCGTCCCAATATGAACGGACCTAAGTGCATTACCATTCGCGCATTCTTTACTTACACCTTGGACGTCCATTCTTAGGTTGTTTCAAGTCCTAAGTATTTCGCAAACGGTACTTCGAACAAATTTGTATACTAAAATTTGTTCTATTCCTGAATAGATGAAGAACATTATCATTAAAATTATACATTACAAGGCCTTGGCTGACGTGTATTTCGAATTATTGATCTTAAAATTTCGCTTAGGTTTGAATCCTGTAGAGTGTAGACGAATATCTTCAATACAATTGACTGTTGAAATATGTGCAGATCCCATCCGTCTCTGTGTCAAGTTCACTGATGAGGAAAAAACTAACTACTGTTCAGTTTATCGAACGGTGTTCTTAAATTTATAAGCTAGCAGTTTTTAGATGTGTTGACGAACAAGTTAAATTAAGTGTATGCTTTTCAGTCATCGATAATGTGATCAAAGAATTATCGTTAGTAAATATACTGCGTAATTTGAGCTGGAAACTGGCAAACAACATGCATCCTACATTCTGTTCCTGTTGAATTCAAATGTGTTCGCATACCCCTTAATTCAGCGATAGCTTAGAGCGCACAAATTCTATAGTATACTTAAAGCTAGACCATTTTACTCTAAGCTTGTACTTACCTGCTCTATACCTTTAACTTTAAGGGTTTATCTGTAGGTGCTGCTCACTTCAATAGCTTTAACGATCAGCAGTAAGCACGACTTGGACCAATCAGCTTATAGCTCAAGACAACGAATGCCATCCTTTACTTCACGATAACTGTTTGTGTGTGTCGGCGTAGTTCATTGTTTCTGACGAATGTAGTTGTGATTAGGTTTAATGCTCGTCTATAGTATAGCTGTTTATTGTTGAAACTTTCGGTCATACCGGCTTGCGTGTGCAATTGATGACATAAAATGGCGAGCCGTTTCTCTGATTTACGTGATATTGTTTACTGAGGGAACGATAATATTAATATTGCTCATCTAGAAATGTCTCGTAAAAGGTTCCACCAAAGTGGTCCAGGGGCCAAGTCATTTTTCGTGTTCAAGTTTGAACTACAAAATGTGTAACTGTCAACTAGCGTTCAGCAGGACTCCCCTGACGAGAATTTGAAAACCAGTAATCTGATGTTTGTCTTAAATAACCTCGGGCAAAATATTTTACTATCAGATTCATACCGGTCCCAAATTCTGTTCCATTCGGAACGTATCGTATTATTATCAATGGACCGAAATATCCAGTTGCACTATACCATCGTATTCTGTCGATACCGTTAAACTGAACCTAGTGACTTGTTGTATTACCTCTTCTATATAGCTAATGCAATATATAATTTTGACAAGTTAGAGATTCGCTTACATTGAGCTGTCTGTACTCCCTATATATATAGAACACCTAGTACTGTTCGCTGCCCACTGTAGCCCCTGACGCACTACTCCAGTACTCGTGCATAATACTACATATACATCAGAAAATTCACTTGGATCAGAGATTTCGTCCTTTTATTTTCTCATTGACGCATGCTTCCAAACGTGAAAAGTTCTATAAACGTTTTTAATTTTATTACCTACATCTTCATTCACTTAAATGTACCATATATTTCTACTATTTCTTTTAATTTACACAGCTGGACTGGAGCCGTGTTTACACCGAAAAAATTATACATCATATTTTATGTGATGAAAAATGATCGTAGACATAAACAAAACAGTCACTAGTTTGCCGGACATATGCTTGTCAATAGAGGTCAATAAATAGAATTTTTTATAATATATTTTAATGTTCATTTACCTAGAAACGTATAAATGAAAGAATAGCAAAAAACTGTTTATATGAATTTCAAATCAGCACATCAATAACCGTACTTTACTGCTTCACAAACTGCCTGGCCACTCATTAAAAATACAAATGCATCGTGTTACTCCTCTCTTCTGCCCACTTCATCGTTCAACCAATGGTTATCTTCAATCAGATTTTAGCCAGTATTACATTTACCTTTTTTTAACCACAGCGATATCAAGAACCCACAAAATTTTCAATTGTGCAGTAACTTCTCAGTGTTGATCTGCCCCAATTAGGCTCATGAGTTCCTATGCGTTGCGATCCGAATTATCAGAGGCCTCGTAACTGTTGTACGAGTACTACACAAAACACGCAGAAGATGAATTTCTTCGTGCGCACGCGTCTAGTACCGCGTCGTCGCCAACCATGGCTAAGCCGATACCAAGCCTGGTGCTGCCCAGTGAGTTCACGATGATTTCTTTTCTGTCGGGGTCGTCTATTTTGAAGATAATCGCAGGCTCGACTGCTCGAGGGCTCATGTTTTGCAGCGTATGGCCTCCGCATATGATGAGCGAGTAGCCGAATGATCCCGTGCTGTGGTTTAGGCGTGGCTGTGACATATTGGCCCATTTGCGCCATTACTATGATTTTTCATCAAGTACGTAGATTTCGCTAACGACTCTTGGTTTCGTCACAGATCCTGTGACACCTCCAATCACAAACAATTGGCCAGATATGGAAATCCCCGAAGACAACATGATGGGAACAGGGAACCTGCCACGTTTTTTCCAGAAGCCATTATGGACGCCTGAAGAGGATGAGCTGCCTTCGGTCATCTGGAAGGTTTCCACGTCGCTCATGATCTTCCCTGATTAATCACGGCCTCCAATGACCCAAATTTGTCCTTTATGAACGACAGTCACTGCACAAGATCGGGCCTGCAGGAGATTTGGCTCTTATCTCCATGCTTATTTCGCATCGACGGGATCTAAAGACTCTGCGTCGCTGATGGGAGTTTATCCGTTGGTTCCACCGATTGCCCAGAGTCTGCCTTGGTATACGACAAAACCATGGTTGCTTCGAGGCGATGACATAGGGTGGACGCAGGTAATCTTTTGCTTCTTCTGGATAATCCGATAAACTTCGTTTCTCACTCCTTCAGCGTCGTCTTCGCCCAAAATGAACTGGCCACACGATTTTCGCCCTCCAGACACATAGACTTTGTTTCCAAAAACACATGTTCCCATGAACGCTAACGATTGATCGAGAAATACGTTCAAGGTTCTTTTCTCTGGTGACTCGCTTTTAAGGTCCACACGTTCAATGCTACGCCCCAGTTTAGAAAGGTTCTCGTTGAATAGGTTCAGCGAAACGCCCCCAATGTGGATCATATATCTTTTGTTGGTGTACATTTCTTGCTGGATAGTTGTCATCACAGAACGGGTCATAACGGAACTTTGCAGCGTATGGATTGCTGATAACCGCGACATATATCGTTAAAATGCCCCATGCCGGATGGTTGATAAGTAGACGCTTTCTTACGCTTCAATCCTTGATCTACTGCCTTCCATTTCTGCCTCTATGTCCTAGATGGCATACTGAATCAGTTCGGTGATGGAGCAATCTGTGAGACAGGAACTTTTTATCTGCCAAATTTCCAATAAGTACTGCACCAACATCTTGAAACCTTCATCCCAATGTTGCCGAACAATGGCAGTAGGCAAGAACACTTTTTCTGGTGCTAACTCATCCATTGTCGGCTCTGCTTGTAGTAGGGATCTGATATCTGCGAAGTATTCTTCTTACTTCTGGTGATGCAGATCGGCAAGTTATTCGAGCGTCAACTTTCTGTTGATCCACAGTTACAATTCCGATTGACTTCTTCCTGGGATGGGTATACTTGCATTTGCACCAAGCTAGCTAGCGCCATCGGCATTTTCTTCGTTGCTCGCTTCATTTGTTGCCTTTATGAACTGCACTCGAGGACATTTCAAATAGTGCCGGACCGCGTCTTGGCAAGCGAGCTCATTCAGTTCCACGTAAGGCTAATTCTTCAATGACATACCATCAGGCTGGCCATCCATAAATCGCGCAACTACCCCATCAATTTCCAACAGCATTTTGATTCTTCCGAGGCTTTCAATCTTCCAATTAATTGCCGCTAGCACATCCATGCTTGAATACTTTCTGGTCGTATCATGGATGCACAAACGTTTGTTGCGTCTTCATATAAAATGACGAAGCTAAAAATTCGAGCTCGCTATTTTTGCTTTTTAACTATCGAATCCTTTAAAGTTTTAACAAAAAGTGCAACAACACGTTTTCAGTGAACTTTTAAGATATTATTAAGAATAAGCACTTCAGTATGACCTTTTTACAACACTTCTCTTTAACTTAACTTCTTGTTTGTTTGTCAGTCTGTCTGTTACAAATCTTATTATCGATATTTAACACACTTCTACCTGTCCAATCGATCTGAAATTTGGCACACTTGCGTAAAGTTGGAGACAATGCATGAATCAATTGACAGAATAAATAATTCTATAATTTAAAATTTTTTTTATTATTAAAAAAAATAAATAAAAAATAATTTTGTCTGCTACAAATCTTATAATCCATATATAACACAATTTGACCTGTCCAATTGATCTGAAATTTTGCACAATTGCATAAAGTCATAAATAATGCATGAATCAATTGACAGAATAAATAATTTTGAAAATTTACAAAATTTTGATATCTTAAAAAAAATGAAAAATTATTTTTTTCAATATTTTAAAATAAAATTAGAAATTCATTGTACATGTGTAACATACAAGACACTGGATTGTTCAGAAGTGTTGTCTTTAAAAAGTAATTTTTAAACGCATATTATTTGTTTGTCTGTCTGTCTGTCTGTCTGTCTGTCTTGTGCTACAAACCTTATAATCGAAATTTAACACACTTCTACTTATCCTACCGATCTGAAATTTTGCATATTTGGTAAGTTGGAGACAATGCATGAATCAAATGACAAAATAAATGATTTTAAAAGTTAAACCATTTTTTTCAATATTAAAAAAATTGAAAACTTAATTTTGTCAGCTACAAATCTTACAACTGATATTTGACACACTTTTACCTCCAATTGATCTGAAATTTGTGAAATCTGAGGCAATGCATGAATCAATTGACAGAATAAATAATTTTAGAAATTTTTTTATATACTAAAAAAAGTTGATACATTAATTTTTTTAATATTCGAAAATAGAATGAGAAATTCATTGTACATCTGTAACATTGGAGACACTGGACTCTTTAGAAGTGTTGTCTTTAAAAAGTAATTTTTAAGCGTATATTATTATTACAACACTTCTCTTTAACTTCACTTCTTGTTGTTTGTCTGTCTGCTACAAATCTTATATTCGATATTTATCACACTTCTAACTGTCCAATCGGCAATCGATCTTTAAAAAGTAATTTTTAAACGCATATTATTATTAAGAATAAGCACCCAATCAGTCTGACCTTGTTAAAAAACGCACCCTATTATATCCTTGTTAATAAAACGCAATGTATTTTTTTACATTAAATTGTAATTCCTGAAAATTTTTTAAATAGACCTAATTTGTTTGCGTTATTCATTCAATTAACTTTGTTAAGAATACACACCGCAGTAATGTTCTTGTTAAGAATACGGACCCCCAGGCCCCAGTAACGTCTTGGATGCTTAGTAGAAGTGGCCTAGTGGTTGCAGTTCCAGAGTACCAAGATTTATCGCAGAGAGGCACCGGCGCGGTTTCGATTCCACAGCTCTGTGCGCCAGTTTCTGGTCAGAATCGGCGAGGAAACCGGTCAGTTAGGCATAGCATAATTTGGAGCAGTGAGTTGCGAGTTCGAGACCGTAACAAGCATAAGCTGTGAATGTTCTGCGATGTTGAGAATCGGCGACAAGCCTACGGCAAAGTAAACCCTGAAAACGCTATGCTAATAATATAGTAAGCAGATTTATCGTAAACTTTTTTAGATGCCAGATGTTGCAGAAATTACTGATTCGCTAACTCTTTGAGGTTATTTTAATTCAAATAATTAATGTATATACGGCTTTTAGTGAAACTCTGTTTTCTCAGATTGATTTCAAGTTTGAAGCGGTCATGTCTGCCAGTGCCAACACATGATGCAATTTTGACTGTTTTTTATCACTTTTTTGTATCGATAATACGAGTATATACATTTTTGTTAACAAATTTGCTTAAATGCCTTCTTATGTTATCTACTTAAAATTGTTTCTAACCAATTATTTGTTGATTACAAATCACACCATTCAATAAGATTGACCATGACGAATCCACAAAATATTATTTACATTGCAGATACAATGTTCAATGAGTCAAAATTATTGTGATGATAGTGCGACTCGTATATCAATATATTTTCCCGTCGATTGACAGTTCAAAATCAGCTGTTACGCTTGTTTTCTTCTGTTGGCAGTTCTGAACTTTTCAAGGGCAGTCGAAAAGTCAGCTAAGTCGGAGCTAAGTCAGCTAACCTTATTGATTGTGAAGTTTGCATAGTGTATGCAATTGCAACGAAGTGAGTGACGAGTGTGGCTGCCCTTTATCGTATGTTAAAAATATTTAATCAAATCGCTATTCGCGAAGACTATCATCTCTAAAATCATACTCCTGTTTAAAAATAAGAGACTAGTCACTTGTCTTTTCTTTGTAAGAAGTAATTCTTTGTTATGTGTATTTGAATATTGCAATTGGCCAGGCGGCAGCCTGGCAGGCACTCCGCACTCGATGGCATACCTAGTGGCTAGTGCTAGTGGCAAACCAGAGATTTTTTAGAAGAATCAGATGGATTTTTACAACACTTCTCTTTAACTTTACTTCTTGTTGTTAGTCTGCTACAAATCTTATAATCAATATTTAACATACTTTTACCTGTCCAATCGATCCGAAAATTTGCACACTTGCATAAACTGATAAAGTTGGAGAGACAATGCACGAATCAATTGACGGAATAAATAAATCTAAAACTTGAAATTTTATATTGAATAAAAATGTAAAAAAAGTAAAATAAGAAAATCATTATACATGTGTAAGTGTAACAGTTGACACTGTAACAGTAAGTCAGTAACAGCTGAGACACTGGCCTGCCTGGGCCCTGAGGCGGCAGTTAGGCCTCTTTATTTAGAAATTAGAAGTGTTTTTTTAAAAAGTAATTTTTAAATTCATATTATTTCTACTTCATGCCTATCAAAAATCAACTGAATATCACGAATAATTCTGTTCTGTAGACTGTAAGTTCTGTCCAGTTATGGAACTAATATGATTTGCAGTTAATATTGTGTATAATTTTGGCTATGGTCATTTCTATTTCAATTCTAATATTGAATAAAAATTAGGTAGAATGTAGAAGATTCTCAATTTGTTAATATGGGCACTTGGCAGCCAGTGGCAACTGGAAAGCGCTGTCACAGTGCCGCTGGGCCTGTGCTGTTTAAGATGTTCTTGGATTTGGATTTGGATTTGGGGCGTGGTGACTCTGAGAAAAAGAATTTCAGGGTCAGGCCTTTGCAACGGCCATCAGCCACGCATCACATTTTCATTTGTTAGTAAGAAGAAGAAAAGGGAGACCAAGCCAGGTGGAAGCAACATTAATTGTTAAAGAGAAGAGGCTTAGAAGAGGTGTGAAAGTTTGTGTTAAGGGTGAGAAGTAATCAAGGGGAAGAGAAGTTCAAGGGGAAATTCATTGGTTTATTATTGCTATTTGTCAATTATTGCACTGTGTATTTGATAATTATATTAGCTATGGGGCCTCTTACTCTTAGGCCCTGAGTGACTATTTGCGATATTATTATGGTTTGGTTATTTCAGTTTTATTATTATTAGGTATTGCTTTTTTCTATATTCTGCCTAACCTATCAGTTCTGAATTTTTCTCAGATGAAACAGAAAGAAAAAACAGCAACAGCCAACACAGAGAAAACAGAACAAACAAATGAAGTTAATGAACAATATACTTTGAATAAACTATCTTTGGTTAGGGGGCAGGGTGACAACACAAGGGAAATATTTACATTACTAGGTATTGTCACTTGATTAGTTTCACATAGTTACTTTGTTATTATTGGGAATGGGATTAAGTGCAAACTGCAAACCAGTATAGGAGAGTAGGTAAGCCTACATCATAGTGAAAAAAGACAGTAAGAGGCTAGTGAAAAAAGGTTAGTTTCTGCATGGAATAGGTGACAATTATGCAGATTGCAGACTTGCAGTTGCCGACGCCGAGTAGATATGGCCGTAGTCACTAGTCACACAATTTAGTCAGTTAGCTATTCATTAGCTAGTCGACTAGTCGGTATTCGTATTCACAATTTACAAATAATCTATGTTATTATGACTTCTTTCTTCCTTCCAATTAAAAGTAGCAACTTGCTTAAATTAAGCTGAAAATGTCCTGGTGTGTTCGTCTAATCACTGTAATGTCTTGTCAGTTGTCATGCATCTGCACTAAGACTAAGGACACTTGTCACTAATGATGACTGACAATAGTAAATATATACCTAGCCATAGCTAGGTATATATTTATATGTGAATGCAGTGGCTCATTAATAATATCTATGTTTAAACAGGTGTGGCAGAACTTCATCAACCTGAGTGAGGAGGAGCAGGCAAAGTATCTGTCAGGGCCTCGCCAGCGCTCTTGCCTAGCCTGGGTGGAATTTAAAATTTTTTTCATGAAATATTCTGATTTTTTAACAAACTTTTTAGAGTAAATGCTTTTACATTTATAATTCAACTAAATTCAAGTAGCCTAATGAAGAAAAGTTCTATTCTTGCATATTTAATTCCTTTCTTACTTTTACAGGAAGCAATATTAATATAATAGATATTCATTTACATCTAATCACAGGTCCACAGTGAACCATCAACTTCAAAACTTACCTAATTTATTCTTTGACTGTGAAAATACTGAACATAAAACAATTTGTCTTGCCGTGAGATAATGGTTGCCATCACGGACATATTTGGTCGGAAGCCCCACAATGAGTCTCAAGGCAGTGCCAGTGAGATCTTGTGAGTATGAAGATGCTGGCAGCTGCTCCTGCCAATTGCCATGCCCATGAAATTATGAACTTTTGTGAATTCCGCTATTTGTGTAACCCTATTAGGAATACTGGGCAGAAATTTCCTAAAATTGCAGGCAAAAATGGTTGTTTTGTGGGTGATTTTTAAAAATCTTGTGCAAGAAATAAGCAATTTTTCTTATTTTTTACTGATATAATTGGAAAAGGCCATAAGAACAGTTTTAATTTGCCATAGTTATGGGTGTTTCTTGTCCAATTCACATATGGCTTCTGTCCAAATTTCCAATTGAGTGTGGAACTAGTGCCTGCTAGCCGCTAGGCTCTTGCCAATTCATGAGAATAATGGGATGAGTTAATTAGCAAACATTTAAGTGAAGTAAGGAAACCAAGGTATTGGTAGATTCATCATTCATGTTATGTGAGCACTGAGCAGAAATTTGTTCTTAGTTTCAACTACATAAAAATTTTTTTCATAAAGTGTGTTGATTTATCAAAAACTTTCCCGTGTAATTATTGCTAACCTATTAATCATTGCTTTGTCCTGTTGTTACTTCTTTTTATGAAAAATGGAAATAACTACTTTAATATATAAATATAGAAAGAATTATAATGTCCACACACATTTTAAACATAATTGTTTGTTAAATTATGTAGTTGATAGTTCTTTGTGTTTTAAGAATGAGATTTACTAAGATCTTATTTTTTTCAGTACTGAGACCCTCCCTCTTACTCCATCTGCTAGTGATTGCCTGAGTGTTAGTGGTGACAGCACTCCAGGCTCACTAGTGGCTGTTCCTGTTTGCCCCATACGACGCAACCCAAATCTACTTCTTGAGCGTCTTGAGAAATGCTCTTCACACAAGTGCTTTCTTGGCCGCCGCAAGAGGAGGAAAGCTCAGAATGGCAAGTTATTTTTTGTGGGTTAGCTATTTAACCAGAGGCTTTGCATAGTTTTTTCATACAGTATATTTTTTGGAACTATCCAATAAATTTCTTGGCTTGCATTCATGAACTTTCAGCATATTCTGGTCAGGGAAATAATCTGTTTTCTACTCTTCAAATAATGGTTTTATTTTCAATCTTATGCAATTTGTGCTAGAAATAGTATTTTTGTGACTAAAAGCCCAAAGCATAATAATCCTTGTAAATATATAATAGAAAAAAATTCTATTACTTCCAGAGTATACAAGTCACAAATGACCATTGATGATTTATCATGTGTGCTTTATTGATAAAAAATGAAATGTTGGTTTGATTTGCCATGTTAATATGAATGGTTGTCATCTAATAATAATAACATACAGCTACATAATAAATTTAATGACCTAGTTTAGTGAGGTCTTGATATTTGTACATGGAAATGCTTATACCTATATAAAATAATTTTGGTAGGTATCTGCGGTACTTCTTTTTTCAAGTGTAGTTACTTACATTCTGAAGTGTTGTAGCTGCTGATGGATACATATTATTTACCCATAGTGTGGTACAATTATGTAGGTATGTATTATATTGGAAAATGACAGAGTCAGGATAATGTAGCCGCAAGCCCAAACTGGGCACTTATGAGGCCATTTCTTGCAATAAAGTCTAGTCATTGTTTCTATTCTCTTCTAGTTGGCCTGAAAATGGCCAAGAATAGTAGGGTTTACAGGATAATATAAATTTTCAAATTTAACTTAGATGTGTTATGAAAGCCGTTTGAATTTCCATATTAGAGTTTGCCTGCTAAATTTTTGATTAATTTCGCTTATTCCATTCCAAATTTTCTTCACCTGGATATTGTGTGTGAAAAACTTGACTTTCTAAACTTTACGGCCAATTTGGCCATATATAGGTGTCCATGCATTGAATTGACAATTGTCAAAATTTGAATGCGGAAAATGCCGATGTCAGAATGGCAATAAGTTTATAAGTATTATTTGAAATTATTACTATTGACAGTGGAAACCTGAATTGAAGGGTTCACAGAGAGAATGCATATGATGGTGGTGCAGACTTCTGAATCTGACAATGAATTGGCATCTCATTGAAATATTTGTATTTTCAGTAAGAAAGTTGTTATTGCAGTCAAAGTTCATTGTAAGGAATAGCAATAGTTTTTTAGCAGTTAATTAATTTTTTTTTTTACAGAAGCAGCTTTGGCTGTGCTAGTATAAGACTATGACGAGGAGTAAGCTCTTTGTTAAGCCGTACGGCTCACTCGTTATTGATATTAATGTATGTTATAGAAGCAGCACTGGCTGTGCTAGTGGAGGGCTATGAAGAGGAGTCTCACCTCTTTGTCAAGCCCTACCGCTCACCTTTTATGCAACTTCTTGAATGCCCGTCCAAGATGATGGTAACTTTCCCACCATTTTAATGTCGTTGTACATTGGCAGTAAAAAATGTTACTCGCCTCACTACTATCACATAAAGATGAGGGCATTTATGAAAAATTATTTTGTCATTATATAAGTCTACTTTTCTGTCATTGCATTATAATGAGTGTGAACTTATTGTATGCTGCCTCATTTAATTATGGCTGAATTATTCCCTTTTACTAATTCTTCAGGCTTCTTCCATTGATTCTGCATTTAAGTATTCCGTACTTATTTTTTGGCTTGAAATTGAATTTTTATAATTTTGGGCTTGCTTTCAGTTGATTCGTCTTAAGTAAACATCAAATTTGTTCTCATTTTGGCATACTGTGTTGGTCCTAGCCATAGCTAGGTATATATTTATATGTGAATGCAGTGGCTCATTAATAATATCTATGTTTGAACAGGTGTGGCAGAACTTCATCAACCTGAGTGAGGAGGAGCAGGCAAAGTATCTGTCAGGGCCTCGCCAGCGCTCGCAGCTCTTTGACTGGACCAAGCCTGAGGCTGCTTCAGAGCCTCCTTCCGTTGATGCAGCCCCTGCCGGAGATTCAACTCCCGCAGATGGACGCTCTGTTCATCCCGCTGCGCTTCCTTCTGGTTGGTGGCACATGCACTTTTAGGCGTCTTTGTTTATTATAGTGTTCAATCCTTAGAGATAATATGTTTTGGTTATTTTGCTTATTCACTCAAATTTTTGACGAAAGTTCTCTTCATCTAATCTGTTGGTTTTCAGATATTCCAACGTTGGGGTCTCTGGTGGAACAGTGCGTATCTAAACTCATAGTCTCTGACCCTGAGCTGGGAAAAGGTCTTCATGACAATTATTTTGCATCACCGCCGCGCCACAACGACCTGCCCTTTGCTGCAGCTGCTGCTGTCACGGCCATAGGCGAACTACCTGGCAGCGTAGCTGGTAAAGTGATTGCACTGGAGCCAAGCCTCAGTAGCCAATACGGCTCGAGGTATCCTGCGAGCAATACTTCTCCTCTGCCCTGTGAAGACGAGAAAGTTTTTTCTCACTGCACTCGTAATAAATGTAGTGGTGCCAGAAGTGTAGACTCTTCTACTCTTAGCCCTAGTTCATGCGAATTCCAACCAATACAACCTTTGACCAACGATGAAATGGCTGATGACGTGAGAGGATCGGAATGCATGCGCCTTCTCAGTGATGCCCTCGGTGACGAGGCTCTAGATTCTGAAACCTCCTGCAGTTCTTCTTTTGAGATCCTCGAACCTGAAGACACTCTGACAGAGTATTGAGTTAAGATCTTTAAATCCTTCTTCAGCCCACCAAAATGCCTGTGGTTCTCCATCCAGTTTATATTTAGAGCTCTGCTGCCGAACTGCAATTTATTTTACAATTTAAAAAGCGGAAATTTATTACAATTCTCGAGATGCTTGACGATGAGAGATCTTCAGATGTAAGGCAAGTAGGCAGTAAGGGTTCATGCCTTCATGTAAGGCAGTGATCAGAAGGCATGGCAATGGTAATCTAAATTCAGGCCAAATTACATGGTTAATAAGGTTTAATCGGACTTTGTTTAATCATTTCTAATTTCACAGACTTGCTTACTTTAAAGAATTTCTCCAGTTATTAATGGGTCAAGCGAAATTGGAATTTTTTTTACTCTGCAGTGCTCTATTGTGTACCACACCCTTTTAACTGCGTGCAATTCTCGTGTTGTTTGCTCATCATAAAGTTTAATTAACAGAATACTCAAATTATATTATTTCAATTGGCATTGTTATATTTTATATTAAAAAGAATTACATAAAGAAATTAATAGTGAGGTATCTGTACAGTTGGTATCTCTCATGCTTCTCAACACGAGTTCAGGTGCCTTCATCAGGTGAACGCTGTGTCACCCGCCAGTCACTGCAGTTTACAGAAAGACATAACCCTTCAATTCTTAGTGCATAATTATTTTATCTTGTATTGTTGTAATAATTTTTTAGTCCGCTACAAGTCTTCATATTTATTGGCCCACCTGGAGCAAAAATTACTGTTGCCAGTGGCACAGGCTGTTCAGTGCTCTGCGTGTGAAACTGCCGCTGCAGTGCATGTTGCCAGATCTTCGTCTAAATTATTTCACCTCTAAGAGATTTTCGTCCCATGGTCCGAATTTCTTTGATGCTCGATTGTTTTTCTAGTGAAATATCAACGTACAAAGTATAATTTGACTAGAATTAAACTATTTTACCTATTGCAAATATTTTCTTGATATAGACAATAGTTTAAAATAAGCAATATTGTGGTGGCAGTTTGTTCATCATTGCTAAGTGTGAATTTAGTTATAACTTTTAATTATAAAGCTAAAATGATTTTTTGAAGTTTACAATGTACCCGCAAACCGTAGCCTCTTCGCACCATTTATTTTGAGCTCGAAATATAGGGTAGGTTTCCACCACGCCTTCACTAGTACCAGGCAGTGTTTCTAACTACACCAGTAACTTCCGGCATTTACTCCCATGTGCAAGACTGTCATGCAGTATTGTAGTTCCATAGTTTAAAATGAACGATTCCAATACGGGTATGAAAACAACAACTTTATGTCATCCATATCTTCAATCCAACAAGATGTATCGAGAGGGCAAGTGAAAATAACTATCAATTGCTATGTAGGTTTTTAATTCAAACCTGGAAAAAACGAAGACATATTCCAGAATTTGGTTAAGCGACAAATAAATTAAAAACTGGATGATTTGAAGAACGAAGTTATGTAGTCAAACTTTAGCGAGCCCATAACGTCAAGCATGACATTCTCGTTAACCCGTTACGACACAATAATATTTACCTCGGGTAATAATCACAACGTCCAGTGTCTTTGCTACCAACTTCGTCATTCAAACAGTATATTGTCTCGGGAGCAAGCAAAGCATTAGATACGTTGGCATCAAGTTGGTTTAGATACGAGGGCAACGGAATATCGTGCGAGGCGCGTAGCGAGCAGTGCGGCGGCCATAGGTGGGAGAGGGTCTTTGCGCGTATGGGGTAGAGGAGGAGCGTCGAAATTGAATGATTCACCTGCTGCCTAGCAGCAGACAAGATTCAAAGATATAGAACACCTTAAACCTGGGATGAATCAATAACCAAGTAATAACGTATCATTCAGAATCTTGACGATTGACGCACAACACAACATTCAAGTTTGAGCACAAGGAATTTCTCTCGCCAAAAATATAGTTAAAGAAGCCACGTACCTGTAAAATAAGTTCGTATGATTATCGATTACATGACCGTACAAATTTCTGATTCGGCGGAATCTGCAGCCGTCAAACGGATGAGATAATCTCGCCCCTTACATGGCACATGAAAATGTTATGAGCGATGTTGCAGTAAATACCGAATTCTATAAAAATGTAACGAATTTGAAGGGAAGGGCAGCTGGATAACTCGATATTTGTTACTGAATACATCAAACTCAACAGGCAGCAATACAGTATTAGTATCTCCAACAATTTTCTTCAAACTTTCGGTTGACTTTAACCATCCAAAACAGAGGAATAAGCTCATTCGTATATCAGTCATTATGGTTGACGTCAACTTTGCTGAACGAATTCGCGTAAAAGACCTAAAGATTGACTTTAGGTTTAACCATCCAGAATAATGGTATAGGTTCATTCATATATCAGGCATCACTACTCACGTAATGAGCGTAAATTACTCCAGTAAATTGTTAAAATTTAAACGGCAAACTTTTGATAAATTAACCTTATCTCAAATTTATTTGCTAACCTGCTATTGTCATCATTAAAAACAAGAAAACGCAGAATAAAAATATTAATAAATTTAAGGCATAACATAAATATACTCAAAGCTGAGCCTGAAGGATACAAATGAAATAGGACAATAAAATATCTGTGCAATGATGTCTGCTAAGCATAAGCATAATTAACATAATATCGGTGTACTGGCTTCTGAGCCACCAAAAAAAACTACTTCAAAGACATAACAGCTGTAGCAAGCCCGCAGCCATCTGGGTACAATCTGCAGTACTGAAGCGCATCTGCTTCACATTTCTTAGAGAAGATTAAGAAGTGTTCCTCTTGTTGAATTTATTTAGGACAACCACAATTCCTGCACTTTCTCCCAGGTATAAAAGGGTCTTTATTGCAATTCAAACACTGCATTTATTTTCGAAGCAAGCAGTTAATAAATTGAAGTGCTCACATGTTTGTGTCATAAAACTTGATAGCAAATCAAGATTGGGAGAACTCTTCAATATCTTCTTGAATTATTAGCTCAACTTTATTAAAGGTTTATCCGTCACAAAAATTATAGATTATCATAACTATAAACTTAAACCAATTATTTACAGAAACGAATATGACTATCAATAGCTTACGGTTTTGAAAGTTATAGGTACTCTAAATAGACACAAGAAACAAACAAATGTTGCAAGATGTGAAATATTTTGTCAAATGTAAGTGGTAGAAGTTTCGATTAAAATGACAGAAATTTCCTTTCAACTCTAAATTCGGCAAATTTATCACAACTGTTCCAAGTCTCACAAAAATAAACAAAACAATTATATAATCATATATAAGATGTTAAACAATGAACAAAACACTAGAATATAACAAATAGCTGAAACGGCATTTTAGGGACACGACAGTGACTCAATACTATCAACGACTTTCGCTAATTTTCCATTGCCGAAATTGCACTAGGACAATTATTTTTTATCCCAGGTTTAAATGATTTCCAACTAGTCAACGGGACAGCTGAGTTACACTTAGATGATATGTACAAAATCATTTCCTTTTCCACCATGAACAAGGTAGGCGCTGCCATGGCGGTACGAGACACTTGATCTACTGGCCTAATGAGAGGCAAAAAATGGCCTGCCATTTAATCTCATTAGCTTGTAAAAGAAACGCGAGACATGTGACGTATTTTCCTGTCGCTGTGTGACATTTTCCAGGGCTACATATTTCAACGTATTTCCTGCAGGGCGCTGTGCAACAAACATGGGTAATAGTAGCGGTATTCCTTGGCGCATAAGAGAGCCAACGATCATCAGTTTATTCATAGAAGCTTATGAAATCCACGTGAACATAGAATCGACGAGTGAGAAGGGAAATATCTCGTGAAGCTTGGCACACAAACGGGGCAAATCAACAATTTAATTTAGGCAAATACTCTGCCGTCTTCTTTACTGCAATAAATCACGTCACCTTGAATTTCAGCGTTAGATTGGCTGATTCATGTCCCGGCTACACAAAAATTTTAAAAGCTTCACCAGAAAACCAGCGATAATAGATTGCATTATGATAGAAATGTACAGTTCGCATCTTGAGTATTAAATGATGCTGAACACCAGGAACATTTCTTACAAAAGGATTGTCTACGACTAGAGAATTTGAGAACACTGCTGAACATTACACCGGACACACCATCTCCGAACACACCATCTCCGAACACACCATCCCCGGACACACCATCCCCGGACACACCATCCCCGGACACATCATCTCTGGACACACCATCTCCAGACACATCTCTGTTGCAATGTTACTTGGGACAGTCTACAAGCTACGTGTCCAGTCGCGGACTAAACGTGTCCAGTTACTGCTGCCAATGCTCGTCCACTTGAGCATCAGGACCACGACGATATGTCTGATGGAGCGCCAGTCAGCACGGCCAACACCCGCAGCAGCACCTGTGACAGCCAATGAGCAGCACTCACAGTTCCGACCTGCAATCAGACCAATTTCCCATTTAACTATTGTCAAGCGTCGTAAAGAATGTAGCAGATAGGAACTACATATATCTTCCTGATTATGATCACGCACTTCAAAGGAAGTCAAAGCATTTCCAAATGTCGATTCAGTTTTGCACAGAAGTTAATCATCACCAGTAGAGGTATAAATTACTCAAGTTCCCCATTTTATACTCCAAAAATACACTGTAGCAAGTTTCCCAATAACGATTTACGAAGACCGTTAATATAGAAATGATGTGTATCTTCGAGTGCAAAACTAATTCGTCCACATTTTATGCGCACCATTCCATTAGTAAATAAAGTGTTTAATATTGGCGCAACGAATATTTAATTTTCTAAACAAAACGGATGAATCCTTTGCCAAAGATATGCAACAATTTATGCCTACAGATAAAATTAAATAGCAATCATCTGCCACTTATATAGAAGAATGCAACAGTTACTGATTTGAAAGACAAATGTTAGAAGAACGATCGCGACCGAATTGAATGAGAGATTATAATTTGTTTCGTTTTAGTTTGCGCAGTTTCTACTTGAGCATGGCCTACCTGAGCTGCCTGTATTCAGACTGCTCGCATAAATAATTAATTGAATTCAATTAATGTTTACTTTCCAGTGCAAAAACCCTAAACTTCAACAAAAGTGTCTATTAATTGACTATATTGCACCCAGAACTGATCTAGCTGCGATAAAGTATCAAAGATTAAGAGAAAGAATCAAAGATGGAGAAGAGACAAGTGAGCAAGAGAAACGAAGACCAGCATACAAGCGCTCGCTTACACGAGACGTCGGCCACCCGCACGAGAAGCAGATGAGGAAGGGCAAGGTATCCTGCTTACATGAAAACTTAACCCCATAACTGAGCCACGCAGTCCGTTCCGACGGACCTGTGCTCGTCGTACATCTCAAGACTGTGAAAAGCAAGGACCCGCATCGCAACATCCCATTGAAGGAGAATAACTATGTAATTATAGTTGTATGAAAATAATTCCTTGCCATAGATTGGACATTGGTTCAAGCAATGATCACGCTGAAAATTAAATTTAAGATGCAAGTCGAGGTAATGCCAGTTGAGATTAGCTCAGGTCTCAAACGTTGCGATTGGCTGGACGATGCTATTTTACTCAAAAAATATAAACAGAAGTTGGTAGCAGCTATCATACGATATTTTTATGTAATTACCTGCCCGGCCATTGGGCTTCTTTATCCGTAAGGGGGACATACACCACGCCCATAAGCTTGGTACGCTGCACTGTTCCGTTCGCAAGTTTGTCAATCTGGGAAATAAAGGAAACATTAATAAAACCAGACATTGGTTATGAAACAGAAACTGCCAAATGACAGTTAGGTAGGGAGCTAGTAAAAGGGAAGCTTCTGGCAATAATTATCAAGACATTTCACATATCAATTTGTAGCGCCAGGTGAGGTAAATAAAAATTACCGGCTTCATCAGCAGGCACAACATGGTAAGTGATAACTAAAAAAACATTAGGTATTGTTCAGTGGCATAATTTGATGGCCCTGCCGAGATTGTGTAACGGTTCTTTTGGAAGATATGAAAGTGAGGAACGTCGTGCGTGAAACAAGTTGTCATTTAATGTCGTCCAGATGGTTCAGAGTTGATGATAGAGGCAGTGGGCTTTCGTGCTTAATCAACAAGATTTCTGCACATTGTTTTCAACAGCACTATGTTCCTTGACAGCGGGAAAGAGTCGAAGAACATTTTCATTTAAAAAATGTCAGGCCAGGAATTGAGGGTTGGAAGCTAACAGCACTGTCAGATGTTAAACATACGATCTATCGTAATTAAATGAAGGAAAAAATCATTGAGAATCTCCGTGATGGCTCACGGTCAGAGCAATGACAAAGTGGAAAGAGGCAGTAGGTATATCTAAGCAGATAATGGCGCAGATCTTTCATTCAGAACAATGGCCTTATAAAGAAAGAAGGCCGTTGCACTGTGATGGAAGAGAATCTAGAGTAAGCCATTGATAATAGTGATAAACTTTGCAATCCTATAAATGTGAATCATAAAACGCTGATACAAACCTCAATAGGAATTACAGTAGGTATATATTTAACGTTTTAATTCTAATTATAATAATAAAAATGATTGAATGCTGACAGATTTTTTAAAATTCGTTGATAATAATACAAATCTTTGAAGTTAAATTCATTATTAGTTTGAAGTTCAGCTCTGTCATAGTTTATTAAAGAACTGACATGAGAATAAAAGTTCAAAATAAAAGGACACCCTGGCTTAGACAGTGGAACATGAGGCGACCTGTTCCAGGTTCTGGCTGCCTCGCTCTGGCCCCACAGGGATCACAAGACGACCTCCAGGAGCGAGCTGGTCAACGAGGCTCTGGGGCAGCTCAGGCGCTGCTGCTCCCACGTGGATGGCGTTGTACGGACCTCCAGCAGCGTATCCCTTACGTCCATCCCCCACTGTCATCAAAAAATGTGAATTAAAAATAGTGGTCTTTTTCAAGTGTAGGGAACTGTTGATGCCTAGCAATTTTTTATAACAAACAAAGCTAGTTTATGACACAGATCCCATTCTATGCATTTGCGCTTTCCAAGAACAAGATATCCGGAAATAACCAATGACCATTATTCAAATGCTTACTAGCTATCTTCATCCCATGGTCTCAAGATCTTACTTTGATTCAATTTAATGCCCTCCTTAATAAAATATCCTTTGCATGCAGAAAAATGTGAAGATTGTCTTCTTTCAATGCTAACAAAAAACATAATACACCTTTGATCATTCTTCCACATTAACTAACCAACAAGTTGGACAATGCCAGACTTTAGCAGCTCTGGACTGTCACTATTGATGTTTTCACGTGCTTGGTTAACCAGTTCAGGGATGTGGTCAATCCCTACAGTGAGCCCTCCTTCTCCCACCTGCCCGTAAAGTAATTTAATTCATTACCTGATAACTCATTCTCCATGTGAAAATCATTCCATGATCAAAATATAAACATTTCTATATAAACTTAATAGCAGGTGATGCTCAAGTTATTATTTTCAGCAAGGAGTCCCTGCAACATGAGGGCATTTCTGTGAACATTTACTAGCACAATTAGTGTCCAGTGAATAAAGAAATATAGTGATGGAAATTAAATGAACCACTCACCAGATGACCCATGCAAGCAGTTAGGTAACCACTGCCACACCCAACATCCAGGGCTCTGTTGCCTTTCTTGAGGTGGTCTTGCAGCAGTGTCAGGGCGCACGCATGCTGTCAACAAAATAGCAAATTTAAAAATTGTCAAAGATGGCATAAAAAGAATAACACCCTAAATGAGCCATCCACCCATGGAATGGTCAAGTGAAAACACTAAGGATGGTAAGAGGGCATTGCCAAATTAAACTCCTATAGGCTATAGGACTAAAGCACAATTTTTCCTTCCGTAATTTCATGATAATTCAAATAGAAACAACTGTAAAAGAAAATACCTACCATATGAGGAGCGCTAATGGTAACACCATAACCAATGCCTTGTGGGGAGTCTTGATATGGGCTGTTCTTAGAATACTTGCCCCGATCTACCATCAGCATGACCTTCTCCACAGCATCGCTGGTGATAACACCATTGCCTGAGAAAACCAATCATATGTTAACATTAATTCTTACCCATCCTAGTAAATTTTAAATTAAATCCTTATTAATCTAATCCAATATGAGGCTCTGGGCAGCAAACTGTAGAACAATTGTAAACTAAAATATATTAACAAGGTTTTATTGGAATTCATTGTTCGATTTCCAATTTCTCATATGAACATCAACATTTCAGAAAACCAAGAGAAGGAATTTGGAATCACACTCAGAGAAAAACACTTCATAAAATTAAATTAATATCAAATCCCTTAAAAAGTTTAAAAAAAGTTCATAATAGTATATACAGATTAAGTACCAAAAAGTTTAACTTACTCCTCAGATTCCGGATTAGATCTGCATGATCTTTGCCGTGGGATCTCCAAGCCATTGTTGCTCTATTGAGGATTGTCAAAAAGCTGCCTGTTATTATAAGTTTAAGAGCTCCAAGTTTTGTAACCATCTGAAACTTTCCATAACCCAAATAATCATAGTAATTTATTGAATGATCACGTCAGATTCAGTTATTCTAGAAGAGACCTGACTGCAGAAATTGAGAGGAGATAGTAAATGTAGCTCAAATATTTTATTAACAGTACTAGTACTGTCAAACGCAGTAATAAGGGACGGTTTTGAGCATTTTTTTGTCAATAACTTCTTACCTTGAAACATTTCATAAACAAGTTTGGGCTCATTTTATGGCTCTTTGCAAGGGCTATCGTATGGCATTTCCAAAAAATTCCATATGCTATTTGTAAGGTGCCTGACACAAAATAAAAACTTCCCAAATTACCCCTGGAAATGGGGTAATTTGAGACACTTGAAATAAACTTAATTTTGAACATTTGAAGCATGCAAAGTGTACCCATTTATTACAAACAGTACTCTGAAGTCCTCCTCTTCCTTTGCAGATGATGTAGATGTAGAATAAATGACATTTATGGTGGTTTTTACTTGTTTTTCCTTTATTGATATGATATTACCATATCCATACATTACTGTATCATTGATGTGATACTACCATATCAATTGACATGCCATTGAGCATTTACAACAACCTTGTCCATTGCAAGCTTCATATCAGCAGCCATAAAGCATTTCTTCTGTATCTGTATGCTTACAGGACAGCTTGTAATTTCACACCATTTTAAGAGGAGCATCTGGGTCATACATATGGGACAAACACAGAAAATAGGAATATTTTGCTCATGTAAATTAAAAAAAATTAAATAAAATATGAAATTCTTGGAAAATGTCCAAAATGGGGGTACCATAGAAAACTATCTCCTCTGAGGATTTTAAAGCTACATCAAGACACATATCATTCGATGCATAAAGACCATATCTAGAAGTTCATCATGGCTTTTTTTGAAATTCTAATTTTTGTGGGTGGAGGGGGGGCATTTTACATAAATTTTTTAGTTTTCCTTCCTGCCTCCCTTCTTTTTTCAAAATATTTTCAAAACTATAATGATATTGAAAAAAAAGCCATGATCATCCTCTAGATCTTTTTATTGCAAATCGAATGGTGTATCTCTCAATTCTGTAGCTTCAAAACTGTAGGAGGAGATAGTTTCCCAGTGAAAATAAGTGCGATGTTCAGGAGAGCCGACAAATGGTCGGCCGGTTGCACTGCGCTAAATATTGGCATTTCCCGCAGCAATGATAGCAATGTTACGTGTTCCTTTACTTAGGAGATAGTCAGCAATGCAGAGAACAACTGCATGAACACCTTCTTGCATGACAGTTTGGGGGTAATTGAGCTCAAGGCTGTCAGATGATGCTTATATGTGCAGGTGCAGTTAAGGTTCCCAGTAGAGATTTGTGAAGGACTCAACGAAAGGTAACTCTTTTGGGATCTGTCGTGAACAAATAAATCAACATAGAGATGATTTTGGTAGGTACCGTTGGATAGGTCAGAATGTCAGCTCTAAGAAGAGCATAAAAACAGTAAAAGCCAAAATTTGTGATTCTTGACCCTGATGCTCCCCTTAATTGGGTCAAGTGAATTCACTATAACAAAAAAAAAATGTAAAAACATACCTGAAACAGAAAAGAATAATCTATATGATAACTATAAAAATGATTGAAAAATAAATCATAGATTAGGTCAAATATTTTTCATCCTATGTTGCCTGGTGCACAATTCTATCTAAGACATTCTGTGCACAATTTTGTGATGACTGATGAATTGATGATGCATTAATTTTTACTGAAAATGCATTAATTGCATTAATGCATTAATTTTTGATAAATGAAATTTTTTGCTGAGCAAGGTAAATGCAACCAACATTTGTCATTGTAATTGATTTTTTGTTAACTGGAGCCTTTGCTAATCAAGGTTCTACTGTAAATGCCTTTTTAGGGGTTTCCCTTATTACACCAGGGGGGGGGGTTGTCCCCTTATTATCTCATCTTGCAGAAATGACTGCCATTTTCTAATGAGAAATGCAAATTCTGTCAATAATTTTTTAAACAAACACCTGTGTGCAACTTTTACGTAAGTAAAATATTTTAGTATGGCATTTTTTTGCTTCAGACCTCAGCAGAGGTACTTTTCCATAATCTCACTTTTCACACTTTTTTCAGGGATTTTTTAGAGGTAGGAAATGTTTGATTTCTTAACTTGCTTTATGCTACATAGTATAAAGACAGGAAATATGTTGAACTCTATGCCACCATTTTTTGTTCTGCAATATTTTAATTAGATAAGTTGCTACAACAGTTCTACGAAATGTTGGAGGATTTTCCCAATTTACCCTGCTGGTGCCTTATTACCCTCTTTGATGTTATAGGTTGGCAGAATTTATTCCTTTAAGCATGTTTCATTGAAGACCAGAGAAGTTGTTTTATTAAAAAATTTCTTAGTAGTTTTTTCAATATATTGAACAATATTTTGAATTTGCAATGGTAAATAAAAAATTGGGGTAATGATATATAACATAACTGAATATATTGTAACAAAACATAACACAGCAGAACACAACATAGTATAACACAACAGATTATGAACACAACAGATTGTTATGTTATAATGCTTTGGGCTAAATTAGGATTTATTATAAGTCTTGTGATGTGTTATGTTATTATACTGTGCTATGTTATGTGTTGTGTCATGTTGTAATACTGTGCTATGTTATGATGTGTTATGTTGTTATTCTCGGTTTAGTTTTGATACGTGATAATTTTTAGCGCATTTTCTCATTTATGAAGAAAGGCACTGTTGTGCTCATCATGTCCGTCTGTCTGTCTTACAATGTGTTGTCTGTCTGTCCATCACTTCACGTTATCATTGACGAGAAAATGCGCTCTCTGTCATTCACTGCAGTGAGTACTGAGTTATATTTGGTTATGTTATGTTGTGTTATAATGGTTTTTGTAATGAAATGTTGTATTAAAATGGTTTATGTTTTGTTTGATGTTATGATGTTTTAAAATGTGTTCTGTGATAATGGGTTCTGTTATATTATCTTGTGTCATGTTATGTGTTACAATGTGTTGCATTATGTTATGTTGTGTTACAATGTGTTATGTTATGATATATTATAATGTGCTTGGTTAGGATATGTTGCGTTGTAATGTGGGGTGTTATGTTTTGTTACAATATATTCTGTTGTTATGTATTGTGTTTTCATGTTGTGCGTTACGCCACATTGATCATTAGGTGCGTGCATCAGTGTCGGTCATCGGGCATTGGCCAAATTGATCATAAAATGCGCACATTAGTGTCAATCATCAGGCATTGGTCAAAACTCACATCAATCAAAAAAAGCACATGCGTTGGTGTTGATAATTGGGCATTGGCTAATTCTATTGTAAAGCACATGTTTGAGCCAATTGTCAGTCAGGCATTGGCTACATTGATCACGGAGTACATGTATCACTGTCAATCATCAGGCATCAGCCACATCAATCATAGAGTGTGTGCATCAGTGGGATGTGGGGTGCAATTCAAAGCAAGACTCCCCCTTGCTCGGTGCAAAGGGGGGTCAAATTGAAAGGTGCAAAGGGGGGTCAAATTGAAAGGTGCAATGGGGATGTAGAACTGGCAACCATAATTCTGGTGCCAAGGCGCTCTTGTCCAGTCAACCACAGCATGCACTCCAATTCCAGGGCGTGTGCTCCAATTTGAGCCAGCATGCTCCAGAATCCAATTGGTAGGTAGATGGTGATTAAGAAGGCATATAGAATGGCACCACAATCACGCATTGGTCAGAGTTGCACTTTCATTTTTATTTTAGCCAGTACCATACTATTAACATTCTTCCCTCAGTCCCCTGGCATATTGGTGTCATAATGTCATAGCAGACTTTTACAGACTCTACCTTTAGTTCATATTTGAGTCCTATAAGTAGACCAGTTAAGTATCATGGATACCAGCATTATCATGTATAAGAAATTGGTTTAAATCTTGAGTAGATGTGGAAATTAAATTTAAACTGATTCTAAAAAATCTGCGGTTTGTCACTATGATTCTGCGGTTTGTCACTATGATTGGTGTACATCCCAAAAGCCAAAACAAACCTCTGGTCTAGCGCACATGCTGCACTTTCTAGACAATGGTGAGTGATGACCAGCCATGGTGCAGAGGGTGGATGCAGCATCGCCAATATATGGGTTTTTAAGCCCTAAGCATTGCCGGGTAATTTTAAGATGCGTCGCCGGGTAATTTTTAATGAAAAGCCATTTACGCTGAGTAATGAAAAACTATTTACAAGCCACGAACTTATTTACAAGGTTGCATGCACGTGTCACCCCAAATAACTAATTTTCTAGTAAAAAAATGGCATCATTTTGAAATAAAAAAGTGGTCAAAGTTACCCCAGTTTACGGTAATCGTAAACTTGATGTTTACATTTTTTTGGTGGGAACTCGTCGCAACTGATTTCCGGACAAGCTTCACTGCATACTGATCAATCCAACAAACCGGAAACCTTACTTTTTTTAAATAGTTGGCTGAAGACTGACAAATATATTAAATGAAAGAGTTTCAATCTAAATGTGTTGGCAAGATCTTCTGAAGGCATAAATTTTGCTACTGAAGTGTCGCCAAAGATCTTGCAATATTCATCCACTCTCTGCACAGTGAGTGACCAGGAAGACAATGTTACAATGTAAGGTTGAGCTGGCTGATGAAGATCCTCAAAAGATGCTAATGTAAGGTCAAAGTGGATCATGAAGATCTTCAAAAGTTGCCAATATCTTGAGCTGAAAGGCCCCACAGGCCCACTCTAGTAAGTCTATAGCCTGGTGTGAAAGCAGAGACCTTGTAGACTCTTCCTCAAGTTCATTTTCGAGTTTTATAAATAGACCAGTGAAGTATCATGGGCACCAGCATTATCATACATAAGAAATTGGTTTAAATCTTGATAAATCAGGATATTAAAAATGAACTGTTTGAAAAAATCTCTGGTTTTTCACTATGGGCCCTTGGGCACATGCCTTCATTACTACATAAGCAGCAAAGTGAGTTTGCTCTGTTAAATTGCTTATGGCATAGTGGTAAAGCAGAGAGCTTTTTAGACTCTCCCTCAAGTTCATTTTTGAGTCCTATAAGTAGACCAGTAAAA